TCACTGCACGAAGTCAATCCTGTAAAAGTATACTTCTTGCTTAGTAATTTCTACTATTACACGTGTGTCACGCCAAATTATAATGATATCAGTGTGTAAAGTAATCGTTGACATCACTCCGCAACTGCAAACTGCGCGTCTTTTGGCGCGTATCTTGCTGGAATTCCTCAATTCCTGGCTAGATCGGCGAGATGCGCTACTGTGCCGCGCCGAGCTGCCATGAATTGACATCGTCAATTAACCAAAAACCATATGACCATATTTGGGCATACGCACCAAATTTGATCGATTTTGGCCCATAAATTGGTCAAATATCAATAATTTTGAATGAAACCAACTTTATATGGAAGATAAGCCTATACTACAGATTCTCTATGATTATCAGCTCAATATCTACCTAACTGTGGATTCTGTGTTCAATTAATTGCAAAAAATGAACAAAATCGCCCATGCAAATTTCAGAATTTGGCCGCCAAATTTTTTTAAAGGCCTAACTCAAAATTCCATATTAAAACTTAAGGTCGAAATGCGATTCTACGTTGATTCTGAAAATTTCATGAAAAAATATTGAAACCCTATTGAGTTCTATTGTTTTGAGCGAAGTCAGTTTTGCAAATATCGCGAACTGAGATATGGGCGATTTTGTTCATTTTTTGCAACTATTTGAACACAGAATCCACAGTTAGGTAGATATTGAGCTGATAATCATAGAGAATCTGTAGTATAGGCTTATCTTCCATATAAAGTTGGTTTCATTCAAAAATATTGATATTTGACCAATTTATGGGCCAAAATCGATCAAATTTGGTGCGTATGCCCAAATATGGTCATATGGTTTTTGGCTCATAACTCAGTCATTTTTTGTCCAATCTTGATGAAAATTCATATACGAGTTCAGGGGACCACTAGCTACAAGTAGAGCACCTAAAATCTGGGTTTTGGGCATGTTCAGGGTATTTGGTTAAATTGGGCCTAATTTGGATCAAATATGGGCGTGGCTGCCCCGCAGGCACCGTTTGGCGGTTGGGGTCCGGGACCCCCTCAAAAGTTCGGTCACCGGTCCTAGTTTGTTGGTCAACTGCTATCTCGAAACTAAGTTTCACAAAAAAATCAGGGTGAACCCCCCCCCCCCCCTTAATAAGGCTTCTCACAGCGAGATCGGCGAGATGCGCTACTGTTGACTGTGCCGCGCCGAGCTGCCATGAATTGACATCGTCAATTAATATCACATCGTGACCCCCACGGTCGTTTCACTATAGTGAAACCCCTGTAGAGTTTGAACGATACAGTGTACAGGGGGCCGCGCGGCGGGTCATACAACGTATGACAAAAAGGATTGACATCGTCAATCAAGCGTGATGCATGATTGGGCTGATATGCTGCATGCACACGTTACTTTAATGTATAAAATTAAGAAAGTTCTAAAATGATTTCATACGTATCAAATTGAATGAGCTTTTTTATGTGTGGAGATATAGCGCGCGCATAATTTTAAACAGTGCAGTAAAACATATTAATTTGTGCAAAAATTTAGTGTTTGTTTAAAATAGATACAATATAATTTATTCAGTATTATATATAATATTGACTTTCAATGTTATGTCCACATACATATAACTTTACCATGAATGAACGGTTTTGAACCAATATAAATATAATACAATTTCAGCTTGTAGATTGTAGTTACTTTTGTCTTTGTTGATTTTTTTTTGCTTTTAGAAAAGAACGGAACTGAATTTCATTATTGTTATTTATAAAAGTTACACATGCAATATCCCAGCAAAATGCTAACCAATTAATTCCATAATTGGATTGAAATATTTGAAAATGCCTTACCAGTAGAACATTTTCGTGATTTTCCTTTCATCAAAGTTTTCTCGGGATATACATAACAGCTTCTTGTACCTTGATGACCTTATCAGAGCTTTCTTTGGGATAATTATTATCAAATCTAAAATAGCTAATAATTTAATTAATTATTAACAGGTCCCTTAACGTGGGCAATAACATACGCTTTATAAATTAAATTGTATAAAAACAAATTCAAGTTTATTTTCAGAGTCTGTTACTTGTCCAACGTCTCTTTAGGTCTGTTTTGGTTTTTCATTGTGTGAGTTCCCACATTTGTTGGTTGAGAATGCTCAACATAACATACATGACACTTGACTGCTTTATTATATTGACCCGGGCAGACATCTCAACACCAGTGCGTTGGGACATAGTGTTGGTCTGCTTCAGGATGTATTAGATCCCAGAGAAGCCGCCATCCCCTCTACTGCTTTAGCTCAGTGGCATAGTGGAATAGAACTTTCAAACGTGTCTTGTACCATCCTGACGTTGCTAGATAATCATTCAAGATAAATTCGGTCAAAACAGTGAAATTTGGGTCACGGAAAGCTGAAATCTGAAAATGTCCTACCAGTAGGACATTTTCAAAATTTTCCTCCCGTCAAAGTTTTCTCCGGATATACAGCTTCCAGTATCTTTATGGCGACTTGTGTCACTGTCACCGACCTCACTGATTGGTCAGTGATAAAAAATTCAGTCAAAACCACCAAATTTCTGTCAATGAGACGACAGAAAAGCTTCTCTTTGAGAACAGAACTTTTAGTACCTCAATTTCGTGTCTTGTGCCATCCTCAGTGACCTTACTAGATGGTCATTCAAGAAAAATTTAGTCAAAACAGTGAAATTTGGATTGCGGAAAGCTGAAATGTGAAAATTAGGGTTTGCATTATCGGTCCAATAATTTTGATCGCCGATAACCGAGCTAAGCTTCTGTTGATTTGCATGACTGACATAATCAATTACACTTTCGTCACCTTTGCCAATGAGGATTACTGAAGTCCTGAGTTACTGTTACACAAATTCTAAACAAGTAATTTGAACTTCCACAACGGCATCGTAAATTTATTTAGAAAGCATTTGCTAGACTAGTCTAGACGACTATGCATTTTCAGCTTGAGTTTTCTTTTCTGTGTACAGTACGATCAGGTAAGTAAGTAAGTAAAGATTATGACATAACATCATCACGAGTTAGCACTTTTAGTGGCTGGATTTTCAATAGCGTGCTTTACTCGCAAGTGATACCACAAACTAGTGTAAGACCTCTTGGCAGTTGTACCTTGGAAAGACTTCTCACAATGTATGCAGGTCATGTTGTCTCCCTCTTTTTTGAAATGTTTCCAGATCTCGTTAGTTGCCATATCAAATAAAAAAGGTTTTCACGGAACACGACAGGGAACCATTCAAGCACGTTATCAATTAACAATTTAAGAAAATGAGCGATCAAATACAAACGCAGGGCGTGGAGCGTGTGTTGTTTTGAAACTAATTATGACGTCATCAGTCATGTGAACTTGTGAACTTGTATATATGAAACATTTGACACGGAGTTGTAGAGTGAGCTATGTGCCTCGCCGGGCTAAAGTAGTGGATGTCCTTGCTGTACGGCAAGTTAAACAAGGAACTAAAACTACTAGGTTCCGTACAGACTCAACTCTGCACCCATGTCAATATTTTCATTATATGCAAGCCTCTTGATAGTAATTGTTTAAGAGAGTTCTCTGGCAGTTACGAAACTCGAGAGACTGTGGGATATTAAAGGGAAAGGAAGCAGTTCTAACGAGCGCTTCTCAAACACAAGGATATATCTTGTGAACTTGGCTAGTATATATAAAACATTTGACACGGAGTTGTAGAGTGAGCTATGTGCCTCGCCGGGCTAAAGTAGTGGATGTCCTTGCTGTACGGCAAGTTAAACAAGGAACTGAAACTACTAGGTTCCGTACAGACTCAACTCTGCACCCATGTCAATATGTTCATTATATGCAAGCCTCTTGATTTATATAGTGTATCAGATGACTTTAATTGTGAGACATTTTAATGTAAGTATAGCATCTGATCAACCGACGTAAAGATCACTTATTATCATCGCACCACACAAATACATAGATAGAACAACTTATATATGGGTGGGGCGAAACTTTGGAGTTTGGGATACCTATGGGAATTGGCCATTGTGAAACATATGCTGTTAAAATGATTGATCATCAAGTGCAGCAGGACACATAAGCAATAAGACATGGCAATGGAATGTGAAATGTGAATAACTTAACATATTTTGATTTAACAATGAGAGTATGACACTGATTTGAGTAGCAAATTCGGTTAATAAATATCCATGCTAACAGCTTTTACTATATCAAGAATTACCTAGTTAGCTGTGAAGGTCCAATAACGCTAAATTTGATTGATGATTTTACGGAATTTCGAACTTTTTGGAAATTATTTTTGAACAAAAATTTGTTTGATATTATCGGTTTATCGGTTAGAAATTATCGCCGATAACTGATAATGACTTTTTGACAAATTATCGCCGATAATATCGGTTGCAAAATCTAGTGAAAATGTCCTACTGGTAGGACATTTTCAAAATGTTCCTTCCATCAAAGTTTTGAACTCCAGATATTCAGGTTCCAGTACCTTGATGGCTACTTGTGTAACCCTCACCAACCTCACTGATTGGTCACTGGTCAAAAATTCAGTCAAAACCGCCAAATTTTGGTCAAGGAGATGGCAGAACACACAAACAACAACCATGCCATCAACTGTGAACTCACTTATCGGTCATTGAAGACTTTATTGGTCAAATCAATGAAAGTTATGTCGAGGAAAGCTGAGTTTACAGATGTTTTAATGTTGCACTATTGTGCGGCATTATTTGGATAATTTAGGCTAATTTTCTTGTGCTGGTAAATCCCTGTTTCAATTTCTAATAAGCAGCTGAATTCATGGACACTATTCGGTAAAATCTTTTAAATAAATCGGGGTATGTATAATGTGTTGTATTAGTGTATAAATTGTAAATTGTTGTATTGGACCTATCGGTATGATTCTAAAGAAGACACAGTGAAAATATCAATCAAAATACCAATTCACTGATTATTGTTAATCATAACGCTATTAACCGAACCATTGTACAGGTATAACCACATGACATGGAAGATTCAGACAATGAAAGCAACATATCGGCTGACTCACTCCAATATGAGGCTGGAGCAGTAACTGAGAAGGATGTTGCAAAAGGCTTGACGAACAGAGGCTACTCTGCCAGCGGCACTGAACTGGTATATTTGGATCTTAACCTAGTCAACAAGAATTTAACAAACATAACATTGCTTGAGAACTACGAGTTTATCCAACATCTAGATGTGTCAAATAATAAGCTGACCAACATTGATGTGATAACAAAACTCAAATACTTGCTGAGTCTCAGTGCTTCTAATAATCTGCTGACTGCTGTTCCGCCTTTGTCTCTACCGCTAAATCTACTGTCTGCTGACTTCTCTCACAATAACATAAATGATACAAGTAAATTGGGAGAAGTAAAGAGCCTGTTAAACCTCAATCTGGACCACAACGAGATAACAAATATCTACGGTTTAGAAGGTTGCTCCAGTCTAAAGGAACTGAGTTTGAATAACAACAGGATAACAGAGATACGAGGACTAGAGTATCTCTACCTACATGTGTTACACTTGAATAACAATAATATTAGCAAGATAAGTGGACTGGAAGAGTTTGGGAAGCTCCAGACTCTCCATCTTGCTAACAACAACATCAGGTCTCTTCGTGGATTACAAGGCAAAATGGTCCTCTCAGAGTTACGCCTTGAAGGAAACGACATCATTGACCTCCTTGAGATCAAACAGTTACAAAATCTTCCATTACTGAGGAGACTGACCTTGATGTCCAACCCCCTGACCTCACTTCCTGATTATAGAGCACATCTCCTATTCTATCTCAATCACCTCTCTCATTTGGACGAAGTAAAGATTTTACCAGAAGAAAAGATTGCTGCTCTCAACCAATTTGATCCTCCTCTTGAAGTAATCGCAGCTCAGAATCACACTATGCATATTGTTAAGAACCTGATTCATCCCATCCATATCAAACCTAGTGTCATGAGTGACATGAGCTCTGTGTATCCCATTCTGGTGTCTAACTGGTCCAAACGGTAGTGGCAAGTACAAACTCGCACAGAAACTTGTTAAAAATACTACCAACGCATTTAGACTAATCAGACTGTTCTCAACAAAGAAGGTCTCAGATAACAAAACTGTTATTCCAGTGTCGCTCGAAGAGTTTGAGGGGTTGATTGAGGAAGGAAAATTAATTGTTTCCTACGAAGTTGGTGGAGCAATGTATGGTTTGAATGGACAGGACTTAGAGGACGCTGCTCATGATGGAGTAGCCAGTGTTGTATGCATGGAGCTAGAAGGTGTTTTATCTCTAAAACGTACTGCTTACCAAGCTAGAATTGTCCTCATTTCACCGATGGATAGTGTAAAGCATGAGACAAGAATGCGAGAACGGGGAAGATACACTGAACCTCTGATATCTCTCGCGCTGAAGCGTACTGAAATGTACAACAAGTACCACGCAGATAACCACGGAGTCTGTGATCTGGCCATCAACTCATCTGATCTGGAGCAAGCTTTTGTAAAGTTGAAGCAGCTGGTTGAATACTATTCTGGACAAAGATCTGGTGTTGGACCAGGCCAGGGTGAAATCATCAAGTCAGCTCCCGAACTCGGTCTGCGTCAATGGAGCTGTGGTTCATCGTCCACATTTGATAATCAACACAACTTCCCACGAAAGGAAGCTGTTGTAAAAAGCGCAGTAAAAGGTTTGGCCCACCCAGTGACTCCAGAAAGGAGAGGTCCCTCTCGCAGCTCTACTTCCTATGTTTACCCTGACACTGGAGACTTGTCCATGTTGAGCAACACTGAGTTCTCATCATCTACTGAACTTACTGCAACGGCACATTCTTTAGTGCAGCTGAAAAACATTACAATTCCACCTCTTACTCATCGAACCATGTGAAAAGTTAATTATTTGTTATTCAATATTGTCAGAATATATTTATAAATCCTGTAAATAGTTGTTTGTCAAATTTAAAATGGCATGTTCCTTAGCAGACGTTGAATGGAGAGACAAAGTTTTTGCAATTGATTGAGTCGCTTCAATAACTCATAAAAGTTACTGAGTGAGCTTATATCACAATGAATATTGGTCATTGGATTTGAAAACCTTTTAACCTATCATTTTCTGTGAATTTTAGAATATTTTCGTTTGACTTCCTGCAGTGAAATGTTCTAAATTTATTACTCGAAATTTCTAAAATTCATTTGTCATTTGATGAATGAATTGTTAAATCAAATATATTAAACATTCTGAAATGTGAGTACCAAATTGTTCATTATTCTAATAATGTAGCCGGTCCATTTGCATTGTACAATCTATTATGATTCGCATTCAAATTGATGCTGTATTTAATCATATGTTCTTCAGGGATGGGCATAGACCCTAAATGGCACTATCAACTTTACGCCTAAGAGAAACCCAGGTCACTCAGCCTGGCATCCGTCAGTATGCTGACAAAACCGCCCGACCAACACCTCAAGACTTACAAGAAGTCATAACCCTCAGCAAAGGTTTGAGACAACTCAAAGTTACAGACAAACCAGACTTTATCCCCAAGAAGCCGGTCTTACCTGGGATTCAAGCTGGTTCAGTCAAGTTAACAGATTGTGATGAACTTGAAATAGACCCTGAGTTGGATGATATATGTAAGGGGGTATCTGAGGAGGGGGTGAAGGGGTTTTTGAAGAAATCCCAGGTCATGTTGAACGTCTTACATCACTGGTGGTGGGCGGATACCAACTCTCTTGAGTTTCTAAACTGGTGGTTCACCAAGTTAGGACTGGAGCAACGTGTGGACTGGTTCAAACTGGAGTGCAGCATTTTGCTGGAGGAAATATCTAACTCTGTTCAGACTCGTGTTTCCAGACAGAAAGTCATGGAGTTTTTGTTGTGTGTACTTCACGAGCATCCTAATCAGTTTTGCAGTGAGAGCGAGATTAATAGACTTCCCGACATGATAGAGACACTTGTTGCTAGTGATAAGAGGGACTATTGCGAACTGTTGTCACATGTCAAGTGTAAAACCTCAAAACCAGAAACGGTACTTGGGTTGAGAACGTATACTGTTATTGGTGTATGTTATGCTGCTGTCAGTTTCTATCGCAAACTTGTCACTGAAAAAATACACTCAGAAAACAGACCAACATCTCGTTCCAGGACAGGAATTTCTGGAACGTTAAGCAGAGAGAAAACTATGCGACCTGGGTCTAGTTTAGGTCGTCCTGGATCTAGTAAAGGACGGCCTGGTTCGGCTATGTCTCCTGATTCTCGCCCCACCACTGCACAGAATATAGACAGAGTAGAACAGCACAACATTGGGCGGGCATTTGATGCGGTTTTGTGCGGATTTGTAGAAGTTCTGAAATACATGTTTGACAAGGGATATGTTGATGGTCTGGTTACAGATAACCAGGGCAGGAGTCTCATATTTCTTGCTACACTTTATAAACAACACTCTGTACTGAACTATCTCGTCTCCGAAACCAACTTTACCCCGTCAGATGTTAACAGTGTTGCTGACAATGGCAACACTCCGCTCCATGTCGCTGCTTCAGCTGGAAACTCACTCGCTCTTAACATCCTCCTAAAAGCAGGAGCAGATCCGCATCTCTTCAATCCAGAATCTAACGGTGCTACACCGCTCCATCTGGCGGTACTGCAGGACAGTATAGATTGTGTTGTGTTGTTATTGGGGACTGGAGCTGACCCACTCATTAGAATGGGTTGCCCGGCTGACACTAGTGCTATCGAGCTCGCTAAACAACTTGACCACAGTGATATCCTCAAGTTACTTATTGGTGCTGTTGAAGTAAGACCTGGAAGTTCGCTGTATGTTGAAGGTATGGAGGTGGACAGTTGAATGTTGAGATCTTAATCAAAAGGGGTGAACGATTTTGATGTTCTCAAATTTATATTGCTTTGTTTTGGTGTATTTAGTATTTCTTATAGCTGGATAGCTTGGAATATTTCCAAAATGTCGGTGCATGTGGTTACGTTTTATTTGCATTTAAATTTACTATTTTTCTGTTCTTCATGTTAACGAATTAAAATTGGATGGATTGATATTTTCTAAATCCTTTGCGTTATTTTTTCGAGTATGTGAACAGCTGTAATTTGAATAAAATTATCGAACTGTTACGATCCTTTGGCCAATTGGCGCACTTTATGATTTGAGTAAGAATTGTATGGCGCGGATATAAAATTGGTTGATCTTTGCGCGCGCAATGTGTTGGTTGCTATGGCAACTAAATTGATACTCTTATTTCAGGATGGACGTTCAGATTTACGGTAAAATAAAGGATCATGAGTTCCACATGATTAAGTTGGCAGTTGAGACACTTGATCGGACTCACAAAGGTGCATTGAAGCTCAACCTTCATGAGCTGACTGACACTGACTGGGAGAGTTTCCTGACCGAAAAGAAAACTGATATCAGAGGAGAAATATGGGGGTTCAAGAATGGCACAATGGCCTTTGTCGAAGGCGAGCTTATTGGAAATGGTGATGATTTCATGAGGTGGACGAAAGACAAATTCGGTATGATTGATTTCAGGCCACCTGCATTCTACGAGGCTCTTGCAAATCAAGCATACAAAGGTTACCTTGAAAATACCGAGCGTGAATTTGTTTATGTTGATTTCACACACGACAAAAGACCTATGGGGCGAGTTATATTTGAACTGTACAAAGACATTGTCCCTGATACTGTGAAGAATTTTGTCGATCTTTTATGTTCAAAAACAGATAATAAGAAGTTCGCCTCAACCAGCATGCACAGAATCGTGAAGAACGGCTGGGTCCAAGGTGAAATCTCTTTACATTTGTTCTTCGGATAGAAATTTTTAGTTATTATAGAAATCAATAGCAAATGGCTTTCCTTAATGATACGATTTTATAAAATTTGTTCTTAAGGTTTTACTTTACAGGGGGTGACTTCGTTAATGGAAGTGGAGGAAACAGCGAATCATTTGAGGGAGGAAAGTTCAGCGATGAAAACTATGCAGTGAAACACTTGAAGCGGGGAACTATTGGCATGGCCAATGATGGTAGGGGTTAGCAACTTATTTGTCTTGTATTCTGAATTCTAGATACACAATAAGTACAATAGGTACACATAGTTGACATGTGAAGCAGGACAGAATTTCTCACTCTATTTATTCTGGCCCACTCTGTAGTGACCAACTAGACACAATGGACAGTTAATTAATTATTGGCCCAGGCAGTAAACACTAATGAACGGCTCACACTCTATTTTGACTAACTTTATCTCGCAGGACCCCACACAAACGGCTCACAATTCTACATCACATTTGCTCCTGCCCCCTGGATGGACCAGCAGTATGTAGCGTTCGGCTGTCTCATTGAGGGTATGAGTGTGCTGGACGATATTGAAAACGTTGAGACTTATAACGAGAGACCAAAGAGACCACTTTGTATTCATGATTGTGGACTGTTGAAAAATGCGCTGTGAGAGGTTCAAGCTGAGGTTAGATTGTGGATTTACGGTCATTTTTGTTTTGTAAGACTACAGCCTGCTGGTTACAAGTAAAGATATGTCGTTCAGTTTTTGATTTTATATGAAATTCAGATGTAAATTGTAAATACAGTTATCAAAAACATAAAAATTATTTTAAAAATATCGTTTCATGACAACTTGCTTCACAAGCATACGAAATTATACATAAAAGCACAAATATTTAAAATCTTCACGAATATCCAGTCTTCAAATACACTCAAATAGTTAAAAATCGGTCTTTAAATCGAGACAAACAATAATAATTCAGAGGAGAAACTGCTTTTAATAACCAGGCATTACAGTAAATCCGGAGCTTCAATTTCAAACATTCCTTCAATCAAAACTAACCTAGATCGTTTCCGTTGTGGTTCTAAGACCAGTGGTGGTTTATTCTGAGTGGTTACTCTTAGCACAGATTGTTGTCATTATTCACTTCAATCTGACAGATTGTAGGGAATGTTCTATAAAGTTGTAGAATATTCCAGTTTAATCCTGGCTCTGGGGTCGTCCGGTACCTAAACCGTCATCACATGATGAACAACCATCACCATCATCACTTTCTATACCAGATAGATATTCTTGTATTATACCGTACCCTGAAATAGATAAATGTAAGTTGCCGGAACTTAATTGTCGAATGTTTAGAAATTAGAAATGTTTTTAAAAAGGACAAGCGTGTGGGACCAATTAAGTCTGCCTGGAAAACTAAACTAGAGCTGGAGTTAGGTGTGGTCGGGCGGTTGATGATGGTGGCATAGTGATAATGATAGTGGAGATGCGTAATTTGTTATAATAGATTCGATTGACCGAAAGATAATACATCTTGAATTTAATGAGCGAAGAGTTATATGGGCATTTTCCACGGAAATGTGTGTCGGATTCCTCTTTATATTCAGTATTCACAGTTGGGACCGATGAAACTTTCTGGCCCATTAATTTTACGAATCATTTATATCAATGAAAATAGTGACCATTCGAATATCTGCTTGCGCCCACCCCAAATCAACTTATCAGGACGATTACACATTCCACACATTTTGGTAGGAAGCTGATAACATAATTATGCACATTATACAATAATTATACACACAAAAAGATAAGGCTACATCCCCAAATCAATAATAAAAATACTTTGTATATAGGATTGAGGAATGGGGCAAGATGTGCCTTGTTTTGCCATCAGCCTTTCCGCCACCTGGGCAGAAATCCATCTGGTACAACGAAATGGGACGCATCACAAAACCAGTTGTACAAAAATTGTAGGTTTAAAATTATGACTATGATAATTTCAAAGTGATGGCTAAGTAACCGCTTACCTAAAGAAGATTCGTGCAGGAAATCCTTATCATCCTCTTCTTCTTCGTTAATTAAGTGCTGTCTGTCTAAATCGTGTCTCGTAGCCTGCACAGTTTTACAAGGTCGTACATAACATATAACAGTAATGTATACAGTATAACTATGATAATGACTGAAACTCATTATCATAGACGTGGGTTATAGCGAGGAGGTGACGCGCGCGCTGTTTGACACGTGTAAACTCCCTACTTTTACCCACCTCTGTCTTTGATTGATCAGAGTTCATTATGTTTTGGAATTAACTAAAATTTAACAAGTTTATAGGCAAGAGCGAAGAACACTATAGTAATATAGTATTATATTATATATAATATAGTATAAATTCCATACAAATGTTATCCTTACCCTCTTAAAAGTGTCGTACTCCTTCATTTCTTTTTTCATTTTTCTATACCTGTTGGCAAAAGTTTTATTAAAAGTGTTTTACTTAAACTTTACAAAAAATATACTCAACCCATAAACTATCAAACCATCATAAGTATTGAGTGTGGTTTTGGAGACCTGACTTTATTTCGTCTTCTTAGTAAAGACACGTACAATGAATGTACAATTGTACATTCGATAACTGATGCAGTTTACTATAAACGTAAAAACACGTACTTGTACAATAACTGATCTTCTGCAAGTATTCGTTGTAGTTCTGATTTCTTCACCAGTCCGGATTTTATATAAATCGGGCAAATCAGCGTTTGCAGCAGTTCTGAGAGAATTCACTCTTTCAATTTTATATATTAGGGTTCAATGTTGAGGTTCAATGTTGAGGTACCATCATGAGAAGTCTCAATAAAAGAGATTAGTGTTTATTGTTCTCAATCATATATAATATATTCGAGACTGTTACACACTGTTCATTATAAACCTCTTCATTCGTCGTTAACTTGGTACTAATAATAGCGCTGGTAAGTCCTTTAATGTAACACAAGCGCAACATGGCACAATGGCGGTTTATTTAAGTTTAACATGACATGATACATTTCTTGAATACATTCATAGCAGGATTAGAAAATACCAATTAAAACCAACACTAAATCATCATCAGAGTCTTAAATATATAGTGAACATCATCAAATTAACTAATTATCATCTAATTAAGTGACTATGAACTATAAACTAATTGACTACTAAATGTATGACAGACCTGCTGTAGTGCTGAATAGTAAGCTGGAGGCTGGTAACATTAATGTCAGCACTACAAAGGAGGAGATTACGAGAGGAAACTCGCTTTGGGTACCGTTATAGTTTGTGTAGTCCCCAAAACCTGGGGAGATTAGTTAAAAGTCAAATATATATTTTTGTCGGAATAATTCGCAACAAAGCGATTCCCACGGGAAATGGTCGGTACAGGTCCCAGTAATCATCCCAGAGAGTCCCCAAAATCTCCATTTCATATAAGTGTTTCAGCTAATTCTGTTCCCTCCAAAGTTAGTTAATACCACCAAAAATACTAATATCTATGTAAATTATAAACAGCACTAAATATTACTATATACTATATATATACTAAACCTATAGTTGAGAAGGTAGTTAGAGAAAAGTAGATACTCTCCCCAATAGTCCAGTGTGAGATACTGTAGTACATCCACATCGCATACACACACAGACATATAGCACCTATAAACCAGGTGATCATTACAAATGTGCACTGTCGCAGGAACAACTTCATTCTCACTTTGGAGCAACCTTCTATCTGAAATATAGTCGTATAAATACGTATTTGGTGCTGAGCTGCCACATTGTTTACTCTGTTGTTGAATTATGTAACTAAAAGTATACAGATATGCATTATTTTACGCTTTAAGAATTATTTATTTGAGACTCGCAAAAGATCTGCCCTAGAACCTGCTATCACCTTATATTAAGTTGGTACCGCATTAATGTTCCTGCCAAGACTGAAGTCACGTTAAGTTCATTTGTATTTTAAAACATTGAAACCATTCTAAGAGTGATACACACCCTCACCACTGCACTTTCACAAATGGTCTGAAGCTCATTCCTCACATTCCAGTTTCCTAAAGTTTTTGCTCAAACTTCTTCTCTAAATTAAATAAATTACAGTATTGCTTGGCGAGCTTATGTCCAAACCATGAGTAAATACCATACACTAGGAAATGTATGAAAAACTCAAAACTTTGAGTATCTCCAAACTTTGCCTATAGTTATTGTCCTATTACCATATTAAGTATTAATTATATTCTAACCTTGAGTATGGCAAGTCTGAGTAACTGTGTGAGATAATATCCAGTCATTCCAAAGAACAGAGATAAGAGAGGTATACCGAGAAGGACGTAAGCAATACAGAACCATCTTCCAGCGCTTGTGTTGGGTGTTATGTTGCCAGTACCTGGGTTGTAACTATTTAGTGACCAATATAAGCTATATAAGCTATATATAGCGACCGCATTAGCAGCTCTATTTCACAGCAATATATTGGTCGAGACAGTAAGACACCATGTAAGAAAACACCACACAGAATTCTGGGACAGGAGTATGAGGTTGGAAGTCTGCCAGCAGCCAGACTGCCAGATTGCCAGCAGAGTGCATATATTGAGACTTGAGCATGATATTCTGAAGAAACTGCAGCTTACCGATAGTAGTGATGGCTGTCGTACAGAAGTAAAAAGCTCCCTCGAAAGTCCACACATTTTCTGGCTTGGTGTGTCTAAGGTGTCCTTTCATAAGCTTGTTCATTTCAGAAAACACTTCAATAAAATCTGAGACATTATCTTTTGACAGATTGTACTTCTTCTGAAACTTCTGGAAAAAACAAAATTAGTAAAGCAGTCGGGAAAGGATTATACGTTAAAGTAAAAATGTTCAATTTTAGAATGACTACATTCAGATCACGCAATGAATTAATAATAATAACGTGATTAATAACGTAACCCTCCACTAGTATTAGGGTGTCGTGATGTTATCGGATCAAATTTCGCACTGATTTAGAGGGCTTACATGTTACAGTTCCAATCGCTCAGAAGCAGAGCTTCCAATTTAGAGAAAATTTACGAATTTAGTTAAAATACGTTGGTTAAATAAATCAAAAATTTATAATTTCAAAGTTCATTAAATTTGCAGTGCAGTTTGTGTTCATTGAATACGGGTTGCCAAGTTTGAGAAATGATGAACATAATCCGACGATTTCGTTTAAATCCAATGCTTGAATATTTAAGTTTTGCCACTAATTCGCGCATTTAAAGTTTTGCCTCTTCCAACTGTATGAAGTGGGCTGGTACCTGGAGCATGTGGTGAGCCTGTTTGCCCCGCTCCTGTTCATCCTGCCACTCCAGGGACACGAACACTACCGCCCCCACTGCCACGTAACCTAGTATCATAGCCAGGGAGACCATGAAGTTCATTGTAAATCGTAACACCGTGTTCAAACCCATTATTAATCAGCTCCTAGTAAAACAGTTTTTATACAAGTTGTACATACTAATATGTATATTAGTTACTGTATACAGTAACTAGTCGAGGCCCAGTGATGATAACGGCGTTAACTTATTAACAAAACTAGGAAATAAGATGGAGACTAACCTATAAACTACCTTCAAAAACTGCAAAGAAACAAAAATTACGAGATTATCAAAGCTGCAAAAATGATAAATCTTCATGAGGTCGGTGCACGTGTTTAAAAACCGAGTCGTGCGGACGTGTGGTACAGTATTACAGTATGCTGGAATCTTATCTGCTACATACTTACATAACACTCTGCGTATTTGAAACTTGATGACTGGGAGAGGAATTAGAGAGGAATCAGAGTACAGCCATTTGATGAGCTGAGTGTTGGCCAGCTGACAAAGAAGTGACGGAAATCTAATTTGCAATTTGTCACAACCCGAAGTTAAGCAGCCTGGTTTGTTCCTACCTATTACAGTAATTATAGTGGTTCATAATTACAGTAAAACCTTTAAAACTACACATATTTTACAATAGTAGTAGTAGTAGTACAGACCAAATATAAAGCAAGATAAAAGTAACTGGAATATCACTAAAATGTAGGAACAGCTTCAACAGGTGGTAATTAGAAAACTGAATATATAACAGACAATAAAAGACCTCACAAGATCAAACAAGAGTTTAAACCATAGCACACATGTGAAATGTGAATTAACACAAAGGAAGTTTTAAACGCGAAGGAAGATTAGTGAACAGGTACAATGTAATATAACACAAAAGGACGGTACCCTGGAAACTGTACAGAAGAAAAGTTGTCGTCAGAGAGTGAGGAACTCTTCTTCCTATATATAGACTATTACAAATTAGAGAGCACTGAAATAGTATCCTTGTGAAATGTTCCAATTCGCAGGAGATAAAAGATATGACGTAAACAAAGTATAATCAGATACGTGCAGTGAGCACGGAGCAACGTCACAGTTCACACATGTTTTATGTTTGGTATCGGTTTAATCTGGGATTCGTTTGCAGGTTTATCTTATATAATGTATCGTATATTGAGTCAGTATAACTCTTCTCTCTTAACTCTTGAAAGGTTCAAAGATAAAGCCTAGACAAGAGCCCGCACATGAAGCTTCTGCACACAATTATAACAACACATGACTATGTACCCCAGAGCGGGGGAATGTTCTGATAAGTGGGTCAGGAGCTGAACATGATCACATGAAACGATGGGTCAACTGCTAATGTAGCTATATATAAAACTATATAATTCGGTTTAAGATTTACCTTTCATTCTCATTATTTGGGATCTGTATGGAAAATGGAATTGGAGAAGTAAGAGACGTATATTACTCAAAAAATACTGTCTGCCATACTCAAGGCCGGGCAAACTCTATTCACAGGTTAATCAGGCTCACACTCTGTTGATATCTCTTTAAGTTTAGGGATATTTGAGGTCTCTCAACCTTACTTATTTGAGTGTGTCCCACAACCAACCACCATGCCTAGAAGTCCGGCGTTATGTAATATAATGATCCTGGACCTAATTTATGTGGCAACTGCTAGTACCTCTATATCAAAAGAAAAAAAATTTTAAAAAATATTACCGATATTACTAAATAAATAAAACTAATGTACTTTGACCGTTGAAGTTGGTGTTTTATTTGTTAAGTAGTTCCTCAATCCGAACGCTGAGTGAAGAATGGCGTCGAGTTTAGCTGGGCCCTGGGAAAGCAAAAATAGTGGAGTCGATATTGTCTCCTGAACTAGAGTTCATCAAAGTAGACGACGATACACGTCAGCTCATATCAAACTAGACTGGGCATTCGCTACGAAAAAATGTACCGGACAATTAGTGTAACCTTAAAGACAGGTTTTGGAACTGGTCCAAGAAACTTGATAATAGGCATTAAGCTGTGTGCTGGAACTTTGCCAGAGCATACAACTAACCCTGGTACGTGTCATGTAGAATGTAGATCTATAGTTCTTGAGTAAAGTTATAGGTCACGTGACATTTTTGATCAACGCGCGGCCATTGGCATTAGTTTCTCCCAAAAAAAAACCAGACAACATCAAAGACGAAATATCACTTAACAAACAAAATCGGGTTGAATGAATGTCATGTGGATTGTGGGGTGGGATTATATATATAAAATTAAAAACTGTGCAGAAAGGAAACAGCGAAATTAAGGGTCAAAAGAACGTCGCCTCTTATTTTCTATACCCTCCCTTTACGAAGCGGTATCCTGAAGATGTTTATAAAGTATACAATTACAATTATAAATTATATGTGTAGACTGGTAATAAAAGAAAGAGCAAAAAAAGAAAGGACAGTATAGTTAGGGAATAATGCAAATAATAGTAAAAGGAATTGTATATATATATAATATAATATAATACATTCAGAGCCTCTCTCCCCCGCTACAAGCATTAGAATGGTCCAGTTTAAAGTATTTTATACATCTGGGACCGGATATTATTTATTTATTGGATATACCAAAAATAGGGTTTTGGGTACTCATATATGTATTGAGTAGTTTGCTGAATTTCAGGATTGTATTCCCAAGTAATTAAAACTGTGAGCTATCAAAACAAAGGTGGTCCCTTTCTCTCCAGCAGAGACAACAGATGGCAAGTAAAACAATTACTAAGGACACGGTATATAAATTGAGACGCGTACATTCGAATACACTCATGACTCATGAGTTATACTGTACATCTACAAACTGACTGTTATATGTCATATATTCGACTATAATGCAGTGGCGTAACCTTGCCTGTTGGCGCCCCCCGCCGAAAATGCACCCCTTCCCTTTTTAGCGCCCCTCCCTAAAATGTAACAAATTAGGTGATTTTAGAGGACATGCCGGTAATCATGTCTCTCGGACACTGATCAGTATATGAAGGAGTATCTTACGGACGTTATCTGTATTTGATAGACAATTATATAATTTACATACTTTATTTTTTGATTGTTTCACGCTTTTCATATTTCATAATTTTACCAAAACCCATAATCATGGGTAGAGTGGACCGCTGCCAGTGGTCCACTCTACCCATGATTATGGGTTTTGGTAAAATATCATCTCTTTTTGATTATAATGTCAGGGTACTTTATAACGTCGAAATATAAACTGATATCTTCATTAATATTAATAAGGAGGAAGTTTCCACGATTTAGAAATTTTTCCTTTAAAAACATTTCCTTGTGTTTAGGTAAGCATATCGGTCGATCACTGACTGAATATGCCACTTTATACTCATTCAAGTTGGCATTAAATTCATATATAATGACATTAAAAAGCAGAATTTGTTGGAAATCACGAATGAGCAAAATTCTCACTTTTCGCACGTGCAAACTTTAAGCGGACGTTGCGTGCGCATCCAATATTGAATCGCCGTAAATTTTTGCGTGTAATTGTTTTATATATAGCTTGATAAGCATGCAAAGTTTCAAAGTATTTCAAGAAGAACTGTAATCACAACGGCACTCTAAAGTTGACAGAAAATGACGAAAACAGCAATTTTCAGTGATTTTAGCAATTTTCTATCAATTTGGGCGTGTCCCCACGTGTGCAACTTTTCGATTTTCAACTTTAAAACTAGCCTAATGCACAATTTATACCTATAGGAAGCAGAACTGAGCTCCACAACCCAAGGCATGGCCCAACACCAGAGAATACTAAATCGCAAAATTGACGTTTTTATAAAATAATTCTTCAAAAAAGCACAAACTTCAATCACGAATATCTTTATGAAGGAGCAAGCTAGAAAAACTTTCCGGTAGATTTTCAGAATGCTTGAACAATTATCTAAGATACAAAATTCCTCAGATTTTGAATTCAATTACTTTTTAATGGTGTAAAATCATTTTTAAAAGTTATTACTTTGTCAAAAATCAAGTTTTAAAAACGGTTAACTTGATGACGTCATCAAGGGGTGTTCATGACGTCAAATAATTTGTTTATACAATGTAAACTAAAGTGTAAACAATTATTTTCAAGACCTGTGGTCGGAAATTGCTGTATCTTTTATACTTTTGAATCTATGGACAATTAAAAACAGGCTACATTTGACTGGCAAAGCGTCTATCCCTGAATATATGTATATATATATATGTATATATATGTATATATATGTATGTATCACGACAATCTATCGTAAAACAGGGGTTCTAGAAAACCCATTTCCCGATTATCCTGAGACCTGAAACTTTTTTTGCAGTCGATTTGGTCAACGTCTAGACGCTCTGAAAAATTTCAGATCTCTAACTCGATTTTAACATGGTTATTAAGGCTCCTGAATATGGCGATTTTGGGTTTTTTACCGAATTTCGTATAACAGTGCTGGCGAGTATTTTATGCAAATTTCTTAAAATTCTCAACATAACTATTTATTATTCCTGTCATCTTTGACATCAAATTAGAATGTTTTGAACTAAAATTAAATCTGCTGAACGACTTCCGATGAGTCTTAATGCCTGAAAAACTCCTGCCGGAGGCGGCGGCCTTCGGCCGCCTCCTCCGGCTGGAGTGCACGCTTCGCGTGCACGAAACACGAAAGAGGCTTGTAACGTGTACCAAAGGGGGTATAATAGTAAAGGGGGTATAATAGTAAAGGGGGTACATAGTATACCCACAATAAATGCACCGGTCGTGCTTGCCAGCACTGTGATTTTATTAGTATTACTAGGTGGACGTGATGTTGTTGAGACTTTGGGCGGAAAACGGATGATGGAAGAACACAATTAGTATTACGACTGTAGTACTAGTAAGCATCGCCATCAGGCATCACCACGATTTTATACTATACTCCATTTACGATTTTAGTCGGCCAAGCAACACGTCACGTGCTTCGGTCACACTGGGGGAGTAAGGTATTAAATTTAAATACTTGCTCTTCTTGCCAGCCCAGTAGTTCTGCCAGATTGTTGAGTTTAGTACGTTTAACTTGAATTTAACAGAACTCTGGGTCCCACTGCCGCGGATCTGATTTGGCTGATGGTCCTGGAGTGCGGTCAACTCCTTTTGTTTTCCTATTTCAGTATAGCAGATAAAATTTAAATAAAGGTAAATAGATTTAGAGCACCTGCAACTTTGCAAATTCAATGGCAGCTATCAAATAATTTCAAAATGCAAAATAAAACTGTCAGACAGATATAGGTGACGAGAAAAATTGAAGTTAAACACAATATAAGAATATAATGTAACTGTAAGTTGTAACTGTAAATATCGTATCTGAACCATCTTATCTGACTGGCCTGATTTTTAATACATTTTTTATCTGCTGCTACTCGAGTACATACCTCGTTTTCGAGATCACATTTCAGCTGCAATTGTTTCACGACGTCACTGACGGTGAACTAAAATCAACAATGAACTACCAGTAACAGTGTTTTTGGGTTCTTTTGAGTTCTTTACCGTGGTGTCTCGGACATAAAATAAGTCCGATCTTAAAATCCCTCCATTTATTTATATTATTTCTCAGCCAATTTACGTTACACTTGTTGGTTAGACACCACCCTTAGGTACCACCAATAATCGAGTGCATTGGAAATTGGCAAAATTTCTTATTACACGTGACAATAATATTTTGTAAAGGTGGGTGAGTTTTAAATTAGATCAAGCAGTCGTATTTCTAAGTCTAAGTAAGTATTGTGTGGCAATACTAATAGTGAGGATCACTCTTGACCATTGTTAATGGTCTGGCCCGGCGCGCGTTACTTCGTAGCACTTGCGCGCGCTACTTCGAAGAAATTTAGACGAGTAGCATCCGTCAAGGATCACTTTATCGCATACGATTACGATAAAATTTAAACCTAAATCTAAATCCGATTCGCATCATGTATGTAGTACTATCTGGACACATGTCAAGTGTCAAGAAGTACGACTAATATAAGTATAACAACTAACGTCTTTAGCTCTCATTCCCAACAAATGTTCTAGTCGATCCATAGAAAGCACGAATAAATACGCAAATGTTTTCTTATTTATATTTAATTACCGCTTTAAGGAATATTATACCGCTCGCAGTCGCAGTCCTGCATTTACCTTTTGTATCCCCTTCAACCAGCAAACCGTACTTGCTCTAACCAGAGCCCTCTCGCTTGCAGTAGCGCGCGACCGCCGTAGGCGGCAAAAGACTTGTGAAACAAGCGCGTCACGCAGTACGCGTAGGCACATGGCTATGTGAAAACCGTACTGCTATGCATACGTCTGATGAAATGAGCACAGCTTTTGAAGGGGTATCGTTAAAAGCACGTTTGTAGCGCGATGCGTTACTAGTAATTGGCCGCGTTGTAGCGCGATACACTACTCACTACTGGGGCGCGCGCGCATCCAATAATGCTTCTCGCAACCACAGATCGGCGAGATGCGAAGGATTGACATCGTGAATCAATGGGTGTTAAGATGCGTACTCGGGTTTCAGCACGACAACTTTACTTAACGGCCTAATTACTGCTCCAAATTCCCATGACTACTAGAGATTATTTATGTATTATATTTCATTAAATTGGAATGGTATTAATTTAACTACGTATAATGGGCTCCTTTTAACTAGAGTATGGAAATTCACGTTCCGATATTATGGAATACCTCCCGGCTTGAGACTCACTCAGGGCAGAGTTCAAACCCAAACTCCCATGTGTACAAGTGTAGATTATGACAATAATTTATGTATAACTATGGACTTCGAACTTTTAGGTTAATTTATGTCTAGAGTTTTAACTTCGAACTTTTAGATGAATTTATATCTGGAAGATAACCAATTAAAACAAGGGAATATGGATTGTAAAATAATGCAAGACCAATCCAATAGTACATAAAATAAGTGTTCCATTTCATGGTAAAGTCCGTTACCCTAAATCAGTTGGGTAGCTGGGTGATCAATGGGAACTGCAGTGTGTATTTATAACGGGGCTGGCTGACTCTCTCTCTGGACGATGGACAGGTACTGGTAGCTTCTAGGATCACTGCGAAATGGAATTGGTAAGAGAACGTAAAGGGGACATATAATTAATTAAGAATCTAATGACACGTTAGGTTGGATAAATCAACATATAATAAAACAATACGTAAATACAACGATAACCAATAATTGAATACACAATGTAAATTAAATCTATAAGTGACTGACCGTGATTGACCTCGTTCTCTCCTAGTCCTACATTCTTTATAACGGCTGGGAACGAGGCACAATCCGCGGGAGGGGTTTGTCCTGAAAAGGGACAAATTATAAGCAAGTGACAGATTAATTAATGACAATAATATACTAACTAGGATAAAATTAAACAAGATGAAGTTAAATAGAGTATTCTGTAGATACGAAATATGTAGAACGTATCAATTAATGCTCAATGACTTACGAGATAATAAGGTAGGTGGTGCTAAGGTTGGGACAAGCAGGCAGGTTAGGATAGGGCTCACCCACAATATTACCTAGGAAATGATAAACTATTAGGAACTAATTAATAACCAATCGGGAATGACCTTAGTATTACGAACAATGTGAAACAATAATTTGGGAATAACATTGCAATGAACAACATCTAATGAATGGGTTACATAATAATAGAACAATACCTCGAGCAACAAACTTCCTAGCTTAGCTGGAATTTACGGAAGTGACGGGAACCAATTGCAATGTTCTGGTGACTTCTGGTGGGGACGAAAGGATAAGTATTTTAGTCGCATAATATACTAAGGCTTTTGGATCAATGAACTTAATTCTAACCTCACTAAATTAAAACGATCTTTAAGGATACAAACAATAAGGTCAATGATTAAAACAAGGGCTACCAACCTTCTTAATGGACTAGTGACATGGGAGAGAGAGACAGCACACTAAACCACCCCGGGCCGGAGTTGCTGAAGAAGAGCGATGGCAGAAGAAAAAGGCCGTGATAAACTTGTCTTCCATCCTTTTGTAGTCCAGAGTGTTCCGTGGAAGGGGAGTTGTGGATGAGGCGGTATAGCGCGTTATCCAGGTAGCAACAAACAGGTTATTACAACAGGTTATTGATACAAATCCCGGTTTCTAAAACTGGTTAAAATACCGTTCCACTAATTGACGAATTCAATAACTCTGTTAATCCAATAATTTAGTTATAAATAATTCTAATAACACTAAATGGCCTTTCTGACCAATGGCTGCAGTGCTCTGCAGATCTCTCCTATCAGATCTTAATCATATAAATGATCACTTAATTCATCTTAATCATATAAGTTAACACCTAATTCATCTTTGTGAAACCTTATGTTACGAAGAATATTTGCAAATTTACATGGTTTATTTACCATTTTAATCCACATATTTAACACATGAATTGCAAATGAACGGCATCACTTGGGACCAACTTGACTTCTCAGCTACTACCTACGTCCTCAACAATGGGCCGCGCTCCGCTCCTACTAAATCGCTCGCCCAAATTTTAAGAAAATTCTTGTGAATAGGCCCTTTGTTGTATCACGTGGTGACCCCCACGGTCGCTTCGCTATAGTGGAGTTTCGACGATACAGGGGGAGCCGCGCACTCGTGCGCGGCGGGTCATACAACGTATGACAAGCCCTTTGGGTATGAAATTGATCTAAATCGGTGTATTTTTGGACGCTGATTCCGAATCACCCTCCATGACGTAAGGTAAAAATGCTTCCCTGTAGAGTTAATAGTTATGGGCAAAAAACCGTTTTGGTCACGTGACAGGCTATAAGTAAAACATGAATTCGATTGTTTATCACAAACTTTATGGTTTAGGGCTCGGGTTTACTTACTAGGCCGCGCTCAGCCTGTCATTCCGCCGAATCTCTATTCGTTTATAAACATAATAGCCTCAGGTTTGTAGGTTTACAACCTACCAGGACGCGCGCCGAGTTGGACTCGTCGACTATATGGAACAGATATTTTACGAGTATCACCCGTTAACCTGAAGTCCCCAGGTAAGGCTCGGGTTAGGGTTAGGGTTGTGGTTAGGGATTTGGATGGCTTCGGGGTTATGGTTTGACGGATGTTACTCGTCTAAATTTCTTCGAAGTAGTGAGTAGCGCGCGCCGTTTTCTTCTCGAAATGTTGGCAAGTGCAACGAAGTAGCGCTTGCCGGGCCAGATTATTAACAATGGTTATGGTTAGGGTTAGGGTTAGGGCTACTGTTAGGGTTGGGATTAGGGTTTATGTAAAACCGTTTCGTACGGCTGCAAAACCATTAACGGGTGATACTCGTAAAATATCTGTTCCATTACACAGGACCGTCGACGAGTCCAACTCGGCGCGCGTCCTGGTAGGTTGTAAACCTACAACAAAACCATAAAAACCAAAGTTACGTGAAATTTTTGGGCGAGCAAATTAGTAAAACATAAAAGCGGCCCCCGCGCTTAGCCTGTCATTCCGCCTAATCTTTATAATTATATGTACGTTTATGAACATGAGAGCCTGAGGTCCCCAGGTAAGGCCGCGCCGCGCACTCAATTATGCTTCTCCATAAAGGCCAAGTATCGCATTTCGCCATGATTTAACGTACTTGCCGAGCTGCGATGAATTGACATCGTCAATTAAGAAGCACCTTTATTTTTAATCATCATTTATAGCAAGTTCCTGATCCTCAGTGCAGCTAAACTGTGCGTCTCAATTTTTTCATTAACTTGTCAATAACAAATAAGATCTCCAGAAATATTCACGACATTGAATTAGATAGATTACAATTTTAGTCATGGATCGGAGAATATTCCCGTAGAAACGTCTTCGCTTCCGCCCCGAAGTTTGAGACCTGGAACGGCTCAAGGGCCCCTCAGAAACAAATTAGGCTTGGGCAGACTTTCTGAACACTGACATGAATAATGAATGTGGGCAGTTTTGCGCAATTGACCACGCCCTTTTCTGGCAGGTTCAAGGTTGTTGAGTTATTTATTAGTGATTTAAATTAGGTCAGACCCCATTTTTACGCTGTAGCAAATAGCGATTGATGCACTTGATACAAAATTTCTCAGCATCTTGAGAATTAAAATGGTCAGAATTATCACATTGAGTGGGGTAGAGCATGGTTTTTTAAGTCTATATACAAAGTGCTTGTACAATTAAATGTAGATGGTGCTTGTAATTGTATAGTGTATGCAACAAGAGAAACGTTAAGATGGTACTTTCCAAGCAATGAAAGTACGAATATTGAATATGTATATTCGTACTTTAAATACTTATAGTTATTGCTTAATCTTATCTTATTTAAAACCTAACTGCATGATAGGGAAAGCAGAAAGTTCTGACTTCGGTACTTAAAAATAATCCGGTTAAGTACTACATGACAGACTTCAGGTTTTTAACTTTAAGTATCACGATCATGACGTAGGGTAAAAATGCTTCCCTAGCTGGAGAGTAACGGGCAAAAACCGTTTTGGTCACGTGACAGCTAGGCTAGTAAAGCATGAATTCGATTGTTTAGGGCTCGGGTTAGAGTTAGGGTTGGGATTTGGGTTTTGTAAAACCGTTTTTTACTGCTGCAAAACCATAGAAACCAAAGTCGCGTGAAATTTTTGGTTAACGGGTGATACTCGTAAAATATTTGTTCCATGAAACCGTCGACGAGTCCAATTCGGCGCGCGTCCTGGTAGATTGTAAACTTACCTAGGCTATTATGTTCCAATAAAAATTCGGCGGAATGACAGGCTGAGCGCCGCCGCGCCCAGTAAGTTGTAAACCTACAATGATTATTTAGACTGACGATTTTGACCAGTGACTAAAATAGTAAGGTCGGTGAGAGTGAAACAACTACAAGTCGCCATCAATGCGATCAAGGTACTGGAACTTTTAAGTTTTATTCCCAAAGAAAACTCTGATAAACCATAATGCATAAAATTTCGCTGGATTGTACAACTTTCGTCTTGGTAGATTCCAAACACAAGGAAGTTTTCCTTCTGGTTGGTAATATACTCAATGATGGGAGTATAGTGTATTGGCTATGCCCCGCTTACTAGTTTAGCTCTTTCTAGTCCCCTGCTACACGGCATGTAAACAGGGATTGGCTAGTTAGAGGCGGTCCGTGTAGGCCTTACACTGTGCTTTCAGCAATACTCATAAACGTAAAATCATCAGAATAGAGAGATTTTGGAAAAAAAGTTTTTCTGCCGTCTCCTTGCTACACGTTGTATTTCAGCTTTCCGCAACCCAAATTTCACTGTTTTGACCGAATTTTTCTTGAATGACCATCTAGCAAGGTCACTGAGGATGGCAAAAGACATGAAATTGAGGTACTAAAAGTTCTATTCCCAAAGAAAGCTCTGATAAACGGAAAATCAACAGTATAGAAAAGGAGATTTTGGAAGAGAAGCTTTTCAGTTTTCTGCCGTTTCCTTGACAGAAATTTGGCGGTTTTTACTGAATTTTTTACCAGTGACCAATCAGTGAGGTCGGTTGAGTGACACAAGTCGTCGTCAAGGTACTAGAACGTACCTGTATATCCGGAGAAAACTTTGATGGAAGGAAAATTTTGAAAATGTCGTACCGGTAAGACATTTACAAAATTTCAGTTTACTGCGTTACGACCCAAATTTCACCGAAAACTGTTTAAATCAATAGACAGCTGCGACATTTGTGTCCCATTTAAAATTTAATCTTCTTGCGATGACTAAAAACCGGCGAATGTTTTGAGAAATGGAAAATCATCAAATTATACAGGGTGGGCCAAAAGTTAGTGGGCATGCGTTGGCCTTAATAGCTCCGCCGTGTTTTATATTTTAGAGCTGTTGCTTTGTATTGCAGAAGGCATACTGTAAGTGTACCTTCTGGTTCGAGGATTCCGTCGTCAAACAAATTGACTGTGTTGTGTGTGATTATGTGACACCGTGACAAGACACCTTAATTGGGCAGCCTTAACGATTCCCATAATGTTTAATGGGTTGATTAAAGGGGTGACCTTATCACGTGATCAGGTAAACCAATCACATTATCACATGTAATGAATAAACTCGTTATGCTCCGTATCTCGGCCACTTGATAAGCTACAACTCTAATTTTTTTCAGGACAAACGTTAATTAACATAATTCGAATGGCTAAACACAATTCAATAAAATTTAGCTCGATCCGACTATCAAATAAATGCAAAAATTAACCTTCATTTGAAAAAAATTAACTCGAATATTTTTCGATTTGACAAATTCCTCGAACCAGTGGTGGTAGTACTATTAAGTCATTCAAGAAAGAATTATTTCAATTGGTCACTCAGTGACTGAGCTCTATCATTGACCATTGTTAATGGTCTGGCCCGGCGCGCGCTACTTCGTAGCACTTGCCGTCAGGCCATTTCGAGAAGATAGCGGCGCGCGCTACTTCGGAGAAATTTAGACGAGAAAAATCCGTCAAAGCTATTAAGGCCGGCTTTTTGCTAATTAGCTCGCCCAAAAATTATCACGTGACTTTGGTTTTTATGGTTTTGCAGCCGAACAAAACGGTTTCACATAAAACCTAATCCCAACCGGAACCCTAACCATAATTCCAAAGCTATCCATAACCCTAACCACGACCCTAACCCTTACCCGAGCCCTAAACAATCAAATTCGTGTTTTACTAGCCTGTCACGTGACCAAAACAGTTTTTTGCCCTTAACTTTCCAGGGAAGCATTTTTACCCTACGTCATGGGGGGTGATTCGAAATCAGCATCCAAAAATACATCGATCCAGATTATTCTTACACCTTCACGGCCTTTCTACAAGAATTTTCTTAAAATTGGGCGAGCGATTTAGTGGGAGCGATTAAGGCCAGCGTATGCCCACTGACTTTTGGCACTTCCGGTATTTTCAACTATACACTTTATTTGACCAAAAATCAATTGTTTTTTATTACAGCTCTTTATCATAGGTTTATAATTCGGTGATGAATGAAAAACTAGAACTTGTTTACCTGAGGACCCCAGGCTATTATGTTCATTAACATATATATATTAACTATATAATATAGATTTGGCGGAATGACAGGCTGAGCGCGGCCCAGTAAGAACTTGTGTCAAGCAAAGTTGAATATTTAACAAACAATATATGCTTAATTTGAAGATAATAGCAGGCAAATTGCAGGTATATATTTTTTTACAAATAATGACGATTAAATCAATTATAAAAATGACGATAACTATTTAAAAATAAAGCTATGTTAAAATTCACCACGACAAATCGTGTTCAAACCAAAATGACACTTATGACTTAGAGCTATTATTATAATAGAAAAAAAGCACGATAGTACATACCAACCTCTAGTTAATATGGTACTGCCAGAGATTTTTAGGTTCCATTGTCCATAACCCCTCATTGGAGAGCAGCTCAACCAATCATCTCCACTAGACAGTCCCAAAGCAATATGCTTGCAAGTGCCAGGTCTCAGAGAATTAGCCTCGCGCTCTTACCACAACACACAATAGAATAAATACAGGGTGGATTTATCTGGGAGAGGTTGGAGCCGTAATGACAAAGTTGCTGAACAGAAGGAGGAGCCTGGTTTATCTGAATATTCAAGAAGGTAAGAGTGAGGATCAGCTCAGCTGTGTATTGAATAGTGTAATGAGTAAACTATCTTTGTAGTGGCATTTCAGGGATTTATAGTGGCATTTCAGGTGATTTACAGCTCCTCGAACCGCTTGTTCAGAGACGAGTGTGATCAGCATCAGCAGTTACAAATATCCGTCCACACTTACTATAATTATCAGCACAAGATGAAAATAACCTTTAGCCGCACGAACTCAGAGTTGATAGACATGGCTGGGGAGGTGGCACGCCTTCAGATCGAGCCTTGCATCATTAATCTTTACACTCTAACGGTCCATCATTTAGTAGCAAATGTACTGCTTTATGTTGCTGACTGTGAATGTAGCAAACTAAGAAAGAAAATAATTTAAAATCCATTGCATAACAACGTAGGTAATGTCTAAAATATAACGTAAGTTTGAGAGGAAATAACTTTTGTCAAATTAGCGAATGCTAGTTAATCATTTCTCGAAAAATAGCTAAATATAACTCTTAATAATGATTACTAGTTAAGTCCTCACGTGAGCATAATCAAAAAATCTAATTCTAACTTAACAAAAGTATTTACAGTTACATACCAGTTCAATCTTCATATGAAAATAAAATGATACATTCCAAGGTGAAATCTGTCCAGTAGCACAGGGTCAGGGTCACGTTTATAAAATGAATATCTCCAACTGTGTTGGGCCAAACATTCTGAGAATTGCACGTCATCACTTAATCAATGAGCAGCACATCAAACGCCCACGTGTCTGTGCGCGGCACATCACACGCGAGAGGCGTCAATACATGTGGTCACACCTGACACCACATTAAATTTTAATATGATATTGACACTCTAACTGAAGCACTACATCAGCTCGGTGTGTGATTGAAGGCGTGATAAGGAGTGATAACAAGTTCGTGAGAAGAGGAAGTAATTGGAGAGGTTTCAAGGTTCGAATATCTCTGATCTGATATTGAGTATCCTGTTAGCGTCATCGTTCAGCTCAATAAATTCACACACTTGACTTGGTAGTCGATCAGGATGTACAAAAAACGGCGACTGAAAAAATTAGATTCGTGAGTTAACGGTGGAAATTGTTTAAAAGCTGAAACAGCTGATCAGAGAAGATCTTTGCGTTTAATCTTCTCAAATATTGGGTTTCATTTTTGTAAAATAAGGAGATGGAAAAAATCCCCGAATACCATGATGTTAATTTGGGGTCCGAAATTCCCATATCTTCGTTCCCAAATCATTTCGGTCACCGGAATTATGTCGAACATAAATATGTCTCGTAAAGGTACATCCTTCCCATCTCGAGAATGGAAATAGAACCCCAGCCCACTTTCTAATACCAGCCCAATCCCGTCCAAGTTACCCCCTCTCCTCTACATAACACCTTGTGTCCTACCTTGCCGAGGAGTTTAGCGAAGTCTCTCCACTTCATTTTGTAGGTTTTAAAAGCGGGATAGTTCATGCTGAAGGTACTGCGAGAAATATTCAGCCGAGCTATTAGATCAGTCAGCAGGTAGTAGTTCTTCTCTCTAGGAAGTATTTACTTATAGAAGCTAGATATGGAATCAACCAGTGATAAGTGACAGTTAAACTCCATTTAAAAAGATCGAAAATTTGACGAGATTCAAACGTCGACAGAGTGTTGAGCTTATAAAATGGATAAGGAAAATCAAAGTACTCACTCAGTCCCCTCGAGCCCAAGCTTGTAGACTGGCATGTGAGGAAGCTCACTGAGTTCGATCAGACACTCCGTGCCCCAACCGGGAGGTGCTCCTCCAGGATTACCCAACTTAGCGATATAATTATCTAGTAGCTCAGACATAGCTGTGCTCCTACAGAAGTCAGACGGCAGTTTCCCGCTGAAAGTGGGTAATTTAGGGTCCGCCCCAGCAGCTAGCAACAACTCTGCTATTTCCACGAGGTCGTGTAACACAGCGTCGTGTATTGGTCTTACTCCTGTAGTGCTGCTTGCCACGTTTACATCTGCGTTGTGTTCCAATAACAAGGTCACAACTTCCACCCTATTCTTAGCAGTAGCTTCGTGGAGAGGGGTCCAGCCTGCATTATCACGTACGTTGATATCCTCTCCAGCTTGAAGACACTGCAGCACATTCTCCAACCAGCCCTGCTGTGCAGACTTGTGTAGGGGCGTCTCCCCACTGCTCCTACAAACTGTTATCTTCGGCATCTGGGGGCCGAGTGGTTTAGTGACAGGAATGTGTCGGGTGGTAGGCCGGCCCCGTCGGCGTTCTAAGGGCACCGTGCGTTTCTTCTCCTTCACATACGCACGTGCAATACACTCCGCGACATCGTCCAGTCCCTCGTCCGTGAGAGAGAACACGTTGGTGAGCTCGCTAGCCTTGCTGCCCCGACTCCGTTCACAATGGAACTTCCTGAGTCTGGTCACTATTTTAGAAACTTCCTGTCTGACAGGGAAACGTTTGTCCTGTCCGTACACTCCACCAGTTCTCTTAATCCGGCTCTTAGTTCCGACAGCACGATGATAAGGTCTCACCCTAGCGCAGGAACTGGTAACACTAGCTGCCTCGTCCACTCCATCTCTCCACTCTGATAGATCCGGCAGCAGAGTGGTGGGGAGTCCTGTTGTCTTGACGATAGCGCGCGTTCGTGCACACCCTGAGAAGTGCGTGCGCCAGGTCTGGGAGTAGCGACTAGTGAGTCGAGGAAGGGACTCCGCAGGGCGCCCCAACAATGTCACCACTTCCCCAGTCTCGTCCCTGATTGTTACCTTTGTGCGGGATTCTCTGCACGGCACCTGCAACACGGACAATAATTGTTCTAACTTTTCTAACTAATCACGGCATTAGTTATATTGTACGGATTTACTGAATGTATAAAAATTCGACGTTAAATCGTCACTTTTAGTATTAGTAACTCAGTATACAGAACACAGCTAAGACTGATAGAAGACTGCTAAGAGTAACTGGTAGAAAAGAAAATTATAGAAGAGCAGCCAAATAAGGTCTCTATCCCAATCAGACAATTAAGCTTTGTCCTGTGCGACTCACCTCTTGAAGGATAACCAGATCATCATCATCCTTGCTCTTGGAAGGGGCTGCTCTACTTGGAACTGGAGCCGGAGCAGAAGTCCCCCGTGCTGGATTGGGATCACCAATCTGTTCAGTGGTCTTGCCGCTCAACTTATCCATACGCTCCTGTGCTGCAATCAACAGTGCTTTACGCATGTCGGGGGGCACCTTGTGCATGTGCTGATAAGCCGCGTTCAGTAAGAGTTGGAGCTCGTTCTTTTTTAGTTTAGATACTGAGGAGAGTTAGAGTTAAGAGGGCGGCTAGGTAAAGGTTGTCTTATATTTCACGATAAATTTGAATAGAGTTCAACCACTTCATCATGAATAGCTTAGATAAAATAAACAATAGATGGGTACATTTACTAATAGTAATACCTAGCCGGTAACATTAATGAACTAAGAATTGACTTATCCAAAGGTATATTAATGATATTGATACGAACAATTAGATACTCAAGAAAGTGAAAGCGAAAGGGAAACCTTTTTCTTTGGCAGCAGCGAGAATAACACTCTGTTGCTCCTGAGATAGCTGTAACCATCTCTCGTGCGCGTCTCGCTCCATCTTGTGCTCACCACTAGTAGTCTTTTGTAGCAGCATCTCTTTCAGATGAGCTTTCTGGTGACGTAAACTTGGTTATAAAGAAGCTGATCGAAGACCGTAAAAGTTCGAAATAACAATAAAATTGACCCAAAGATGCGAAATTTAGAGGCCAGCTCGTAGCTGCACCACAGCCGCTACGACGTAGCGGCTGTGGTACAGCGCTTTTACCGTACAAAATAGATTCGGAGATAAAGCAACATACCTGAGCGGACTGTTCGTTGGGTTTGGGTAGAATAGTGCGCTGCTGAGAGGCCTGCCCTCTGAGAGCCGCTACCTGGACACTCTGTAGAGTCTGTACCCGAGGAGGACCAGGAGGACCTGTACTCTTCTTGGGTAGTGTTCTGTTGTCTTGGTACGGGGGAGGTGGGTCCTTCCTCTGTTCCTGGTCTGGAGTGGAAGGTAGGGTAAGGGTTGGTTCTGGCACATTGATAGCACGTGTTTTCTAAGCGAAATAATCCTATTTACTTTATACATCTTATTTAGCTGTCGGTGGGAGATACCATTTCTTAGTAATCTAACTAAATAATCAATTAATTACCAGCGTTTCTCTTCATCAGTAGTTGGCGGAGAATGGGGTTGTTCTTGAAGACTTCCTTCTGCTGCTGAATGGGGAGGGAGAGGACTTGAGAAAGGGAGTTCATTACCATCTTCAGCTTTGCTTCTCTGTCGCCTGAAAATGGAAAAAAATTGTATACTGGGCACATTTTCATGAGCGATATGTAGAATATAAAAGCCGAAGAAAGAAAGTTAACCATAACACCCTTCTCCCTCCCTCGCCGCAAAAATGGTGAGGGAAAGCGAGAAATTACTTGATCTAGTTCTAACCTGGAGTCTTAGAAGCGGAGCTGGGAGTGCCGGTAGGATGAGAGGGTTGTTGTTGTTGCTGGGAGTGCTGATTAGACACCTGCTGTTGATTGAGTAGCTGCTGCTGTACTGGCATCTGATTCTGATGATCCAACTGGGGCTGAACAGAGATAAGTTTAGTATGTGTTATCCTTATTCAATGTTTTCCATGTTAACACGGAGAAGGCTGGTATTTCATTCGGTTGTTTAACTATAAATAATAAATATGACAACAACTGATATCAGTTAACTAACGAGTTCCAATTGCTGGAACAATGTGATAGTCACTAAACTAAGCCTAGAAAAACGCAACCTTTCAACTCTATATCTTTACGTGGATTAAGAATTAATGTGTTAGAGCGTCACCTGAGAGATGGGCTGAAGGTTGAGGACGTTGTAAACACGTTGAGATTGTAAGCTCTGAGGCTGAATATTCTGGAAAGGCTGGGTCTGCTGAATGGTCTGTTCGTGAGGGAAGGACTGATAATTACCCGGCAAGGTCTGGGCTATGATGGTTTGTCCAGACTGTCCTTGTCCTGGTGACATGATTCCGGACGGACCAGTCGAGAATTGTCCGGATTGTGGTTGAACCGGCTGGAGATGAGGAGGTTGAGCCGGTTGCAAGTGGGCGGGTTGTGCAGGTTGCAGGAGTGCGGGTTGCAAGTGTGGTTGCTGTGCAGGTTGCAGATGAGCAGGCTGGATGAACTGCTGGTTGGGAGCCCCGAATGTAGCGGCAGGAGTCTGGTTAGGAAGGAGAAGGGGACGCTGTGTGTTCACCTGAGTGTTGCCACCAGGGGCTGGAGCTATTGGCATGTACCTCTTGGTGGAGGAGCCGACCATGACGCGCGCAGCACGTGCTTCAACCTGGTTACTGAAGACAGAGGCTGCGTTGATGGCGGAGGGGAGAGCGGGGTTGATGGGGTTAACCCGGGTTGTGGTGCCGTTCTCTGCGGTGGAGAAGGTGATGTTGTGGAACACCAACCCATCACGTGACACTGAACCTGAATTGATAAACTGAAATTAGAACAATCTGAACACAGCGCTTATTAAATACAATACAATACGATAAATGTAACAAGAAACAAAACAGTTTAAAAATTAACAGCAATACTTTATTTCGTCAATATGTTAAGAACTTGCCTATTGTAGGTTTAATAGTGGCTTGGTTATTATTGACGGGCTGCTGATTTTTGTTGTCCACGTGGGGAAGTCTGCCAGTGTTCATGCTAGCTGTAGAAACTTGCAGGGTGCTGTTGTTGTTCTGCTGCTTCTCTACCACCACGTACTGCACTCCGGGCTCCTGTTAATTTATTTCATATTAACACAGTAAAATTATTGTTCTTGTAAATTCGTAAGTGGTCTGTACTACCGGGTATCACTAATATAATTCTACACAACAGTGATGACATACCAGAGGGGTCCTAAAAAGGCCTTGAGAAGTGATGACGTAAGATGTGAACAGATTCTTTGCTGTTTAAACCGATCACATCACATTCAACATCTCCATTAAATAATTAGATTTGCAGTGTTGATATTTGTATGGATTATTCCTATAGTGTAAAATTCTCATAATTTTAGGAGCCCTTGTGGAACGAAACAATTTGTTGTTCCGAATATAAAATTATAATATTCTGAACCACATATTATCATTTAATTTAATTTATTTATTTATTGAATCGGCATAAAACAATAGAAAAACAATAAAGATATGTCTACGAGAGCGTAAATTGATCACGTTTACTATCTAGCTATATAATTATAAATCCTGCGTGGTAGCTCTCTCTTCGCATAGAAACGGAACAAGCATCATGGAATTAGACAAATATCACACTTAGGGTCCACACTTACATAGTTACAGAATCTTACATCCAAAGACATGACCTTTGCTTTTCAATAAAGGACAAAAGATGTTTTGATGATGAATATAGAGGAGCGACCTCAAGATCGGAACAACCGTTCCAAATAATCCCGTTCCGTTTACCTTGGCTCCTAGATCGAGAGATGAGGAATAGAAAAGGAAACGTATGGGGAGCTTACACAAGCGCAGCTAATTCACATTCAGAAATCCTAACTCGTAAAGAGCCTTCTAAAGATCATATTGTTTATTGAGGTAGCTCTACGGTTCAGAAACCTGGACACCAATAAAAGCGGAAGAGAAAAGTTCAGAATAAACGTACCCTAGTTTGATAAGATAAACGTATTCTAGTTTGATAAGATAAATGTACCCTAGTTTGATAAGATAAATGTACCTTAGTTTGATAAGATAAACGTACCCTAGTTTGATAAGATAAACGTACCCTAGTTTGATAAGATAAACGTACCCTAGTTTGATAAGATAAACGTACCCTAGTTTGATAAGATAAACGTACCCTAGTTTGATAAGATAAACGTACCCTAGTTTGATAAGATAAACGTACCCTAGTTTGATAAGATAAACGTACCCTAGTTTGATAAGATAAACGTACCCTAGTTTGATAAGATAAACGTACCCTAGTTTGATAAGATAAACGTACCCTAGTTTGATAAGATAAACGTACCCTAGTTTGATAAGATAAACGTACCCTAGTTTGATAAGATAAACGTACCCTAGTTTGATAAGATAAACGTACCCTAGTTTGATAAGATAAACGTACCCTAGTTTGATAAGATAAACGTACCCTAGTTTGATAAGATATTGACGTACCCTAGTTTGATAAGATAAACGTACCCTAGTTTGATAAGATAAACGTACCCTAGTTTGATAAGATAAACGTACCCTAGTTTGATAAGATAAACGTACCCTAGTTTGATAAGATAAACGTACCCTAGTTTGATCAGAAGAATGTTCCCTATTCAGGGGTTGCTGACTGGAGGTGTACAGTAACTGAGATCCGGCCCCTTGCTGCTGATTTAGGAATACAGGTTGGTAGTTGATGACGGTGCTGGTTGAGATGTTGATAGGGTTTGCAGCAGTAGGGAGAGGAGTGGCGGTCAGGGAGAGAGGGATTGAGCTGGCCGGTAGAGGAGGAAGCGCTGGAGGGTCTTTCTCCAGCATCGCTTTCAGGTTCAATATTGTGCCTCTGAAATTGGAGGGTTCGGTAAATGGTTTTATGTTATTAGTCACTATAATCGTCTAATGATTAAAGAAATAACAGTAAAAATTACTAAGTAGTTAATATGTATATATCGATATGGTAACTGTAGTTTTATTAATGACACTTTATCCAGCAGATAACCAGTCCAACTCACGCAGGGAAAGTGTGGTCCTGTAGGGCTGGAGTCTCCTTCCCATTCTGGTGGACAGTAAAGAGATGGTTGCTGCCAGAAACAGGAGTCAGTAGGAAGGGTGTCTGACCGTGTACAAGGTATCCTTGTAAGTTTCCTGATACGTTAACTATAGGCTGCAGCTCCTGAACCAAGATACATTTAAATCTTATCTCAACTTTAGTAGTCTTAAAAACAAATTTAAATTAACACAAGTTTTAGTGAATCTCAAGCGGTACAGATAGTTAACTATAGGTGTATTCAAAACAAATACATATCTGAAGTTAGCACGCAACAGCAAGACTCAATGTTAGTTTGTTACATCAGACTTGCCAATGCTATATTATCAAAGAAACCTTATCAAATAAATGAACAGCGATACATCACGATCAAAGGAGAAGGCTAGGTTTGATAATTGGATTGGCTCAACCGAACCACCACCTCCCCGTGACTTACCGGTAAACTATCTTGAGGAATGTTAACAATGTTGGGAGCAGTAGGTGATCGGTCTGCTGAGTCTGTTTTGATGCATTTCCTCTTCATCATCTCGAATATGACAGCTATCTTCTGTTCATCCCGCACGTAGACCCGACATCGCGCAGCGGTCTCACCCTTACCACTTCCTAGGGTGGGCAGTGGTGATTAGTGTCTGGGTATGTGGTAGAAATGTCACGTGATTGGAGGAAAACTGAGAAATATATGTCATAATTTCAGTCTCGGACTCTTAACGTTATGGTGGAACCTATCCAGATTCAGATAATGTAAGTGTGTAAAAACGTGTAACTAAGAAGCTATTTATAGCTTTGTTTATTAACTAAAACACTTAGTTTATAAGCTAAGAAGCTATTTATAGCTATTTTAGCTATTCATAGTTTATAAAATAAAAACTCACCATCTTCTTCATCGCTGTCAATACAGATGATCTCGCTGGAAGGTTGTTTCTCCTTGCCAGCTCGCCTGTTAGGTGTAGTCTGCCTGATTAGAGGTGTCTTCGGAAGCAGTTTCGGTTGGTGACTACTAGAGTCAGGCTGGGCGTAGTTCACCGTTATACCTGAGATTGAGGTGGAGTTAGCGGGTGAAATATGGAGATCAGGGGAAGCTAGGGCTTGGCAGTGAATAATCCTATGGTTAATTTTACCACAATAAAATATACTGAGGGCCATTAAGGTCCAGCCTCTCTTTCAACAAAATTAAATATTCAATTGAAGTAAACAGTAAAAATTATCTGAACTTGCAAAGGGATTTTGGATCTTTATTGAATATTGGTTATGGTGATAATATGAACACTTCACCCTACCTGACTGGGACTGTTGTAGTGTAGACTGTTGTTGAGGGACCAGGTGACCTTGTTGTCCCATATTCCCAAGATTCGCCTGCTGGCCCATTACCATCTGTTGCCCCATCTGATTCAGTTGCTGCGGTTGCTGTTGTATTTGCTGTTGTAGTTGCTGTTGTTGTTGTTGTTGCTGTTGTTGCTGTTGTTGTTTGCCCATCATAGAGTTTCCCTGCTGGCCAGCTCGAATTATAGTAGCGTTAGTTGCTCTTCTCAAAGTATTCAACTCATCGGACAATATAACTGTTTGTTTATTCTGATCATCAATACCAACAAGTGTTTGAATATCTGACAGAGGGATCACCATCGGCTGCAGACCCTGAGGGATTAACAGTCATTGATTGGGTAAAAGAGGGATCACCATCGACTACATAGCAGATAGTTACTGTGTTATGACTGGACTTGATTGATTTTACGAGAATCAGAAAGAGCTGTTGAGATAAATAAAATGTGATTCCAGAAACAACAATTCGGTTCAGTTCGGGTAGATTTTAAGAAAAATGATGAGCTGACCTGGTTATTGGACTTGTATTGATTAGAGTTTAGAGCTTGTATCTGATTAGAGTTCCCCATCAAAACATTTTTATTCTGCTGATGAAGGAGATTACCCTGTTGATTGTTCTGCACTCCACTGTGCGCAGCCTGCACGTGTCCTAGTGGCTGGACCAGCGGAACACTGTTCTGCTGCACATTCTGCACCATTGGGGCAATATTTTGCTGCCCGCTTTGCACGTGCGGTGCAATGTTCTGCTGTGTATTCTGCACGAGCGGCATGCCGCTCTGGTTTGATGTTAAAAATGCTCTGTTTTGCACCGGCCGTACACTCGGTCCTTGCTGGAAGTTTGCATTACTAGTCGACTGCGGGGGACCCTGAGGAATAAAAGAGTTATTCACTTTAAACTTACGACAAGAATATTTTAAGCCCGCTTCATAAATAATTTCGCTCGGCAAACAGCAGTACAATATTGTCGAAAAATGTCTCCCAAGCTCCTCGTTTTTTATAAACTTTGATTTAAACATGACTAGGTAGGGGGGGAGCCAAGTGGATATTTGTAGATATTTGTAGATTAATGTAGAATGGATAATCCACGAAAAAAGTGGATGACATTCTACAAATTTATACATTTATCTCCAAAAATTCAGTAGAATTTCTGGGCACATATTCGAGATTACATTTTTTGTAGATATTTGTAGATTAATGTAGAATGGATAATCCACGAAAAAAGTGGATGACATTCTACAAATTTATACATTTATCTCCAAAAATTCAGTAGAATTTCTGGGCACATATTCGAGATTACATTTTTTGTAGATAAATGTAGATATTTGTAGATTATTGTCAATGGATAATTCACGAAAATTCTACAAATTCTACAAATTTATACATTTATCTCCAAAAATTCAGTAGAATTTCTGGGCACATATTTGAGATATACATTTTTTGTAGATAAATGTAGATATTTGTAGATTATTGTAATGGATAATTCACGAAAAAAGTGGATGACATTATCCAAATATCTACAAATATCCACTTGGCCCCCCCCCCCCCCCCCCCTAGGTAGTATAGATAAGAATTAACATTATGATTCCGTTATTTTAACATCAGCTCCAACCTGATTGATCTGCGAGGAGGGTTGCATGGTAGTTAACTGTGAGTTCTGGAGTTGACTCTGTAGGTAGGTCGACTCGTTCAGCAGCTGCTGTGTTTTCTGCAGGTTTGCTGTTGGGAACTGTTGACTCGAACTTGAACTCTGCAAAGTTATTTTCACGTTGAATTCTTAGGCATCATGTAGCCTCCAGGCTCGACAAACCCCGACAAACCCCGACATATCCTTCAACAAACCCCGACAGACCCCGACAAACCCCGACAGACCCCTGACAAACCCCGACAGACCCCGACAAACCCCGACAAACCCTGACAAACCCCGACATATCCCGACAAACCCTGACAAACTCCGACAAACCCTGACAAACCCCGACATATCCCGACAAACCCTGACATATCCCGACAAACCCTGACAAACCCCGACAGACCCCGACAAACCCCGACAGACCCCGACAAACCCTGACAAACCCCGACATATCCCGACAAACCCCGACAAACCCTGACAGACCCTGACAAACCCCGACAGACCCCGACAGACCCCGACTATCCCGACAAACCCTGACAAACCCCGACAGACCCCGACAAACCCCGACATATCCCGACAAACCCCGACATACCCCGACAAACCCTGACAAACCCTGACAAAACCCCGACGTGTCGAGATGTGTCGTATCATGTCGGGCCCACCGGCTACATGATGCCTATTCTTGTGGTACCTTATAGCTTAACGTACCAAATTTGTATTTTATTTATTCGCCAGAAGATGCATATTACACGTAAAAATGAACATCAAAAAGATGAAAAATAAGACCCCTTTAAGTCAAAAGATCGCCACGTGCCATAAATAATGTTACCTGAGTTCTAGATCCCTGACGGTGTTGCCTAGGCAACTGAGGGAGAGGAGGGTATTTCTGGGCCAGTTTCCCCGGTGACAACCGGTTCATATCCCCACCCTGGGTACAATAGGTCTATTAAGTTACAACGATCTTTTGTACGCAAAACATTTATAAGCTTCTAAAGTTGTAAGGTAGATGTGAATAAACGATTTAAGGAAATCTTCACCCAGTTTCACGGGCCATGGTCCATCTAGATTCTAGGACTGTCCAATAATCCAGTCGTTTTTACTTTTAATTTTTGAAACAGGCTTGCACTAAAGAACAAACCTGATAGCCAGGGGAGAATGGGGCTCTGGGAGGATTATTCCGAGACTGAGGCTGGTCGTAGACAGCAACACCCTGTGCAACAGGTAGTGGATTCGAGGAGAGAGGGGTGTTGAAGTTACCAACTAATACTGGGGCACCGGAGTTCGGACTACTAGCCTGACCCTGGGGGTGTTAACTGTTAATGAGGTGTAACATTATCACAGTACAGTTAAAAAGTACAGTCAAAAATCTAAAGTGCACGGTACAGAAACAGTTTGGGGGAAAAGAAGAGCCCGGTATATTGAGGTAACCGGTATTACAGAGGGCTCTTCTAACATTATCGGCGTGCGCCGTGCATAATCAGTTTACAGAACAGTCGCACCTTTCTATACCGGGCCTCTCTATACCAGTTACCTCGATATACCGGCTCTTCTTTCCCCAACATTTTTCTATACCGTGCACGTTTCGTTTCCCCCGAGAAGCCCGGTATAGAGAGGTTTGACTAGTTCGAGTAGTGCTACAATATTTTTAAATATTGTTTAGTTGATGATCAATATTTGATGAACAATATTTAGTTGATGATCAATTAAATGAAAAGACACTCAATCAACAAAACCAATTTCACTTCACCTCAAACAGCTGAATATCCTGCCTACCTGGTTTTGTAGCTGCTGCTGGTGGAGGACTTTAGAGAGAAGAGAGCTGGTGAGCTCTTGAGGAAGCTGAGCTAGAAGAGAGCAGAGGAGGGAACCAGAGCTGGAGCTTTGCAGGATCTTCTGCAGCTGACCCTGCACATCCTCTCCTGCTGAAAGGGGAGGCGGTTAGATACTCTTGTGAGCAATTTGGAGGTTAGCGATATCTAGTTGATGATTTGGGGCTGATGTGAGATCAAAGGATGTCAAGTGGGATACATAGTTTTTATTTAGCGTGGTGAACTTTTGAACGCAGGAGGATTCACTACTTTCTGAGATAGACCACATGACACAGCCTGTCAGCATACAGTCATGGAGCGAGTAAAAAGGGTCGAATTGCTCAATAATAACCGCTCCTATTTGGTCAAAATTTGCAAAATTCTCTGGTGCACACTGCACAAACCCTGGCGTAACAAACGTAAGCAGCCACCTTGAAACTATAAATCCAGTATAAATTTTGCATTAATTTTAAATAGCAATTTATCTTAATGCGTACTTCATTTTGTAACCTTAAAACTGGGCAGAGTCTGCGAAATTTTTGAGTTTTAAATAATCCTGACATCATTACCCGATTTGGTCTTTAGTCGTTATTGTTCAATATTCATTGTTCCTACACGCAAACGGTTAAAGTCCAAATAAACGTGTACACATGTATTCTAGTAAGGAATATTGAGTGAGTCTGAGCAATAGCTGGACTAACAGTTGTATTAGAAGCAGTTGAGTTTATACGTTGCAATACCAGCTAGGAGGTTTGGTTAAAGGTCCTGGTCAGAAAACAGTAAATCCCTTAATCCTCTTTATTCAAATTTAAGGAAAGTGATCACTACTTTTTCGTCGCGTTAATTGAATACTTTATATTAGGTTTTATAAAACCAGAGGAATCTTGAAATCCTTGAAACCTACGCCCCAATTAAGCAATCATTGTACGCTAACTTAAGAATAAACAATAGAGATGCCCAGTGAGTGTACGAACCTAGAGATTGAGTAGCAGTAACGTGGACATTAGGTGGAGCGCTAGGAAGTCCAGACACCTGTTTCTCCACCAGTCTTCTCTTCCTTGAAGCATTGGAAACCCCGCTACTAGGACCAGGCTGCTGCTCAGGAACCGGAGCTGGGATAATTTGCGGCTCGTCCGGATCCACCGGCTCCGGTTTTATCCAGATTATACCGGGCTCAAAAGGTTTCTCAGTAGGTGGGATCTTGCGTTTCTTAGAAGGACCTGGTTCTTGAGATGAAGCTCTGGAGGTTGAGGAGGTTGAGAGAGCTGTTGTCTGTTCCACAGAAGTGGAGGTTACTGCGTTATCAGGGGTAGAGGGAGCTGATATCTCCAGAACTAGAGAGGTGGGCACTTCCAGCTGAGGGGCAGATGGAGGGAAATTCACAGATTTAACTATTGGGGGTCCATCATTAGATACACTTTCAGGTAGCGGGTTAGAAGGTTGTGAAGTTGATGGTTCGTCTGATGAGACGGTGGTAGAAGAGACAGGTTGGCAGGCAGAGGAGGGGACAGGTAGAGCAGGAGATCCACTAGGAGGGGATATTGACTCAGTAGGTAGAGAGTCTGATGTAATCACTGCCTCACTGTCTCCAGATGTGGAAGTGACCATAATACTGTCTTGACTTGTGACGGCTGCAGGAGCTGCGGTCTCTATGCTAGGAGTGGGGTCAACTTGCTCTGAGGAATCAGGGTCAGATTGAGTGATGAGTTCCGGGGAGAGGGGAGTGACCTCCTGACTCTCTGTGGTACCTTCCTCAGTGGCCACCTGGTTATCCGAGAGGAGGTTCTCGCTACAAGAGGAAGGTATAGCAACCAGGGCTGGGGACTTACAGGCAGGTGAGACGGGAGTTAGATCCCGTACCGGAGACAATGGGGTGGATACCACCGATACCACCTCCATTGGTTTCACGGTGCGTCTTGCCAGTGAATCTTCTATCAACATATCTCCTTCATCTGGATCAGAGATATCCAGTATATCGTTACCAGTATCCTGGTCCTCGTCCACAGAAAGGAGGGACCGAGAGGGAGGCGGGGTTGTGGCTGGAGGGGTGATAGCTTCGGTAACCAGGTCGTCTGCTCGATCTGGTTCTGATAACAACAACTCTTCCTCTTCTTCTTCCTCTTCCTCTTCTTCTTCCTCTTCTTCTTCCTCTTCCTCTTCCTCTTCCTCTTCCTCTGCCTCGGACACCAGCTCCACATCTTTCACTTCTTCGTTTTCTATTGGTTTGGAGCTGTCCTCCTCCAGTAGCTCCACATTTGTGCTTGTCTCTAGAACAGGCACTTCAGTATTATCTTCTTGTGTTGCCTCTCCTTCATCCATACTGATCTCTTCCGAATCCTTATTTTCACAAACTTGCTGTGTCTTTTCTGTCTTCTCTGTCTCCTCCGTATCCATCTCCCCTTCGGACACTGGTTCGGTCTCGATATCTGCGGTATGTTGTGTCAATAACTGTGAAAGATTTCTCAGTAATGATTTCAGTAATAGAAAATTCGTATCAGCAAATGTAGGGTAAGTAAACAATGGCAAACGAAATACGCGACTGTAATACGCGCTGATATTAGTGATCGCGCCTGGGTGTAAAAATACTTGGAGAAACATGTGGCTATTAAAAAGATACTCTCACGATATAAGATGATCAAAAAGCCCTCAATTCATCTCCGACAAACCGGCAAGTAACCTGATACGCGAAGCTATGGCCCGAAATTGCTAAAATTATCAGCGGAGTGCAATAAACTACAGTTTACTGAGAGCTTAGCTCTCTTTTTACAAGATATTGTAGTTATAACTTAATCTACCTCTTTTAAATGAGCATTATAGCAACATCGGAATACATGAAACTTTCAGTTTCACAAATTAACGACCGTTTTATAATTTTAATAACAGCCGCGGTTGGAAACATGTCCGATTCATTAGTCCATAGCTCCTAAAGTCAAATTACTTTGTTCTTGATCTCAGCTAAACTCGGCTATTACAAAAGAATTGATCTATTGTACTGAACTCTCATTTCAATTGATGGGCTTAAATATCTGTTTGTAAAATTGCGGCAAGTTAAGGCGTAGCCAATTTTATTTTTACGCGTTTATATATAGTAGCATTTAGCGAAACGATTTATTTAAAAGAAAAATCTGGTCTTTCCTGCGGCAATTATGCTCTGCTATGAAATATCTTAAAAGCAGAAATTAGGAATATAAAGTTAACGATGACAGCGTCAGCACTTTTCAGGTTTTTTCATTTGGACGTGACAAACTGGTGGTATGATCCTTAAATTTTCCGCAGAATTTACACACTCAATCATTGAGCAATCCAAGTAACTAAACAAAATTAAATCAGAGATGTTAATCAAATTCCGGCTTATATTCACCTGACACTGTGGCGGTCCGAGAGAAAGCCTCTGCTCCAACCTCAATTACCGTATCGTCGACTGAACATTCCAGCTCCTCTTGTTTTATATCTTGTTCCTGAAATAGAATAACTAAGTTTTCTATTTTAAGTCACAATAGAGATCATTTTACCTTATAAAGGAGAATAATTTACTGATAAGAGTTGCTGAATAATCTCAATCGCGCGGTATGGCCGATTAACTTCAGATTATTACAAACGATCGAGTATTTAGAAATTCCTTCATCATTTTTAAGACCATTGCTCATAATTGGTTAACATTTTCCCGCTTTGATACCTTTGCCCATATATGGTAATCACGCAATTGATTCAGGTTATCTATAAGTCGTTATCACGGCTATCTGAAGAGGATCAGATTTCAAATCTGAATAGGCCATAATTTTACATCATGTAAAGTGTGTATCATAATCAACGAGAACTAAACATGCCACATCCCCGCTATTTTACACCGAGCAATTATTACATATCCAAAAATGTAAATCGATTAATCACAGGTTACATTTTGATAGTACCAGGAGACCAAAATTAACTGACATAATTCTTCACAAGATAATAGCTTGGTACACGCAACTTGTAGTCGTTGAAGTAACATAAAATGTCGAAAATATGAAAAGCAACTGTCACGATAAGTCAAAACAGTTGAAATTGAAATAACTTTAAACATCTGACAGGCCACACTCACATCAGTTGCAGCTAGTTTCTCCATCACTGACTCTGTAGCAGCAAGAATTGAGCTCTCAGACGCAGGTAAACTGCTAGAATTATTTGTTTGTAAGCTGGAAGTAGCTGGCGGTGTGCCAGAATCTTCTTGTATATCAGTTGGAGTGCTCGGAGTAGTCTCAGCTGGTTGTTTCGGAGAAAGATCAGGGACTGTAGGGTGAGAGTCGGTGGGTTGTGCGGACTCGTCTTCTATTTCGATCGTGTCCGCCTCCATATCGTCATCCATATCATCCTGGAGAATCGGTGGTTACTATAATAGAGACAAGAAGGAAATGACGAAAATTTCGGATCGGATATCGGCCTTTTTTACCGGTTCGTGTAAGTCCAGCCTCAAGGTTCGGCGTAAATTTACCAAACTTCTGCAGATTTTTTTCATCGTGAAATAGTAGAAAAATCGTTGAATCGGTTCGCTAAGATAAATCATTATGTAATGGCTTTTTAATTTGTTATGATTTATTAACAGCTGCAGGTTAAATTGCTTACCATAAAATGTTAGCTAATTTTAAAATTCTTATCGTTTTTCTTATTTTCTTGGGAAATTGTCAAAAAATACTCAAGATTCGTCTTTGTTATTTAGCAAACACGTAAAAGGTGGTCTAGCTTCCTTTTTTAAGGTTTTAATATTTTTTCAAAATTATAATGAGAAAACGAAAACGATTATTGTTAACTGTTTAAACTAAATTTGTTGATATTTCTATCTGAATATACTTGAGTAAGGAATTTATTCAATGGCAGATACTGCACTTAACCGAACGGCGAACATATTAAAAAGATAGAAACCTAGTTTACACTTTATTTGACGAGACAAAAAGACATAACACGATTTCAGTATAAGGTTATTGAATAAGATATTATAATAAACTTACGTGTATAACTAAACTGTCTTCTTCATCGTTATCAGTAGACAAATCTGTGATTTTCTCTGAAACAGGATAGTATATTACATGAACAAAACACGTGTGATTTGTTTCAGCTTACAGAGTAATATTTAAACGGTTACACCGTACACGATGTGTAATAATTTGCAACAATTTCACGTTCAACACCATGCAGTAGTAATTCGGACAACTGTAAGTGTAAACTGCAAAGAAGTAGAAATTGAAGCTTTGAATCAGAGTTATTTGTTTTAAAAGACATGTACCGACGCATTGAACATTTTCTTGGACTACAAAATCGTTTATTACACGTATCTTCTTGGAAATAGGTTTTAATTTCACTTACCAGTTAATTCAGTGGATGTTGGGTCCTCTTTTTTATCCGAATCCTCGCTCATGTTGTCTTTCATATGACTTCTCCAGGGTTAATTGCTTCACATGATCTGCTGAAGTGAGAGATGGGGTTAATTAATAATCAACCAAATAAAGGCAAATATAGTTTACTAAGCAACATGAGACATTCTTATAAGTAACTGAAGATAGGTTATTAGGTTAACAAAAGGTGGGTTGCTAAGGAACCTAATTTATATTACCAAGCGACCGAATATAGGTTACTAAGCAACAAAAGATACCACACTTGAACTAAAGATAGGTTACTAAACAACTAACGATGGGTTCTAAGCAGCTATTTAGCTGTCAACAGGTTTCAGGACAGAGGTATCAAATTGACTTTATAAAGCTGTGTACAGTAGACATATGACGGACCAGTTCTAACACTGATTCAAGATCCCTCAATAATAAGTAGTGTGTAAGATGTGATGAAGCCAGCCATATGTGTCAGTCGAAATTGTCACCATGGTTACAGCCTCTTAAATAATTGCTTCAGCAGTAAATTTCATGACATTTCTTCAAATTCACTGTCATTACGCTATTGCAATGCAAATAGTGGGCTTTTGTTCACAAAGCCTGCACGTGAGGCAGATTGTTCAAGTGTGTTGCAGTCACTGACGTCTCGAATCATAGGTCGTGGGGCTACACGTAAGGATCAAGTACGTGACCATATTGGGACATTTCAGAGTAAGACCGGGTAATTGATAACAAATTCACAGATTAACAAGTATAATATCCAGTTTGCTGAAGACATATCGAACTTTGAAGGGATTCTGACTTGCAGTGAACGAACTAAGAAGTTTGAAGTAGCAAGCAGTTGATAACCTGGCACAAATATTGAGGAATAAAGCAGATATGACAACAGAGAAGATTATAATAATGCTGTAAGCTTATAAGGAAGGGAATTGGACAAACAAGAGCTGATACGTGTACGTCTTCACATAATGGCTTCCTTTTGTTATCATAATGTGCGCACAATATAATACTGTTATTTTAACGCAGCAGATACCATAATTAGCACTCAGTCTTCAGTCTAGAACAAAGGTTTTATCATTTGGAGTGGAGCTTTCAGGGCGAGCAGTGGAACGATCTAGAAGAGCACTTTTCATGATTACAAATTGTTGGCACTATCCGGTAACATGAAACAACAATATCAAGGCGAATGTTGGCAGCGAGCTGATAATTTGTGTACATTCCTGAGCAATACATGGCAAGTAGGGGCCGCTACACAAGTAATGGGTTATCAGGTGAGCAGCTTCCTAAAATGAGAGACATTAATAAGCCAATTAGACTAGATAATTAGGCTGTCAACTTCTAATCAAGTGCCATCACAAACTAGATTACTTTCGATCGGGAACAACATATCAAAAACCCGGGGTTAATACAGGTCTATAAACGGCACAGTATGTTATAGCAAGAGAGAGCGTACAACGAAGACAGCACACAGTGAGCGCTTTTCTAAAGATATTAACAGATCAGCCAGTGAACGCGCGCTAACGCGGCACGTGACATCTGCTCGGCCAATTAGCGCGCAGCACCAACACGTGACCTCAGGACCAATGGCGATATATTAGTAGTTATGAGTGACGTAACCAGGACAGCGAGCCAATCAGCGCGCTAGCTGCTTATAGAGTAGACCAATGAGCGCTCTGTATACGCTGAAGGCGGGCCAATGAGGGAGCCGGGAGTGAGCTGGATGGACCAATGCGGTGAGAGGGCTGCGGGAAGAGAGCCAATCAGATATTGGAAACCAGACACTGTGTGTAGTTTCCTCAATCCATTTATGGAATAAATGGGCTTATCATGCTATATACAGTGCGGCGCTGGCTCTAATGAGACTCGATATTCCTGCCGCGGTAGGGGGACGGCAGCTTAGTTGCCTGGGTAGCCAGTGGGTCATCCTAGTGCTCCCATTTCCTACTCTAAATTAGGAACCTATGGCCCATGATGGGCCCTGATATCTCTTAACGTGTGGGGCTGTCAGATGCTCAGATCATGTGTCCGCGAAAGTAAACAGTAATTACTGCCACTAAATAGCTCTGTCCGAAGTTTCACTTTTTAATAAAGGATCAAGAGATCAAAAGGCAGACTTGAGTGTGACAACAAAAGTCAGAGTCAAGCCATTCTTATAAAATTGAAGACCGTCATAAATCTTTCTCCACGAACATGCAACGATGCCAGGTGATACAAGATCAGGTGTTCAGACTTCAGCGACAGATAATAAGTACTCAGCTGCCAATTTCGTGCGAGAGTGTAAACAGCAATAAATGTTAACAAGTATTTTAAAATTATCTAGCATCCCAAATTCTGCCTGCCGAAATTCTGAGTCACTTTCGTCTTTTGGATCTTTCGTGCTTCAGTGAACATATTTTGAAAGGCGTGCGATTTAATCACGAATTTTAGAAAACGTACAACGTAAAAATGACTTGAAACTGAACCCGGATTTCAATTTTGGACTGACAAATTGTTAACCATTAACTTTATCGGAAAAGATGTGCGATCCATTTTACTTTTCATTTGCAAGATAATTAATGTAAATGTGACAGAACGCCAATCGATAACAGCCTGAATAGTGAATATTTAATTAAATTGTGTAAATTTCAACAAGCCCGAAATAGCAAATTTTTGCGGTTGAATTTCAATTACTAATACTAATAATCTCATACTGCTTTAATTTTGACAACAAACGAAAACTTTTGCTCTAAATAAGAAGTATCATCGCTAAATAATAAAATTACGTAAGTCGAATTTTTGAAAAGTTTGGATGAGCTGTTGTATGTTATCAATTTGTTTTATCAGCCTTATTACAATTGGTTTGACGAAAATAAGCATGGTCTGTAGATAGCTGTGATCTTTGATTGTATCTATGTATGTATATTGTATTTTTATAAACCCAAAACGTATGTACCAACAAATTTAGCTATCTAAGGCAATTGTTATGAAGCATGAATACTACGTAAAACTCAATTTCCCGCAATTACGTGCTTTATTCAAGTACAAAGTATAAATGTAAATTTGTTTTATATAGTTGATACTCATCTGCAGAAATGCATGTATTTGCAATATTATATTTACAGCGCTGGCAAATGCAGTCAAGTATTAAAATTGACCGCTTCAACTGAGGAGTTGGATATCAAATGAACGGCAGTTTTTCGCCCGCCGCTGGAAATATCCGACGGCGTGCCGTTTATAAATTTTAAAGTTTTACGGCACGATTTATGTCTGTTTTTTGTCAGAGTTATCTCCAATTCATTGCACAGAAGTTTCCATAATCATATTAAGGCTTATTTTTCTGGCCTTAAGTTCCTTTTCAATATTATGGCCTGATTCGATTTTGTTTAATGATACCAATGGCAATTATCCTACATTTTGGGGTTAACGTTTTTTCGTTTTATAGCGTACTGATTGTCTTCGATTTCGTTAAACGTGTCTGTATTGCATAGGCCCTGTTAGTTTTTATACTTCCAGATCCGCTTTCATCATTCGAACCCAATGTTACTAATATTATGCGGATACCCTATTATATGCGTCTCTCTTAATTGATTTTTCTTCTTATACCTACTAAAAGACGTGTTCAATGTCCATACACTAAACGGTCTGATGTTCTCCTTTTACAGTCCGAAGTGCTTCTATTACGAAACCTGATTGGAGTCTGTTTAAATGTTATCTCCTGATTGGTATCCACGTTTCACGATCCGATTTGTGACCGTTTATTTTGTGCCTTGTTTATCTTCTGATAAGCTGCTATACCGAATCAGTAAATTAAAGCACATCATACAGAATAATCACGAATACTGTTGCCAAGTCACAAGTGCTCCATCAGTATCACTGTGGTCTCAACTTTTAAACCTCTGAAAATAATTCAATTTCCAATTTAGTTCGTGCCAATTTTAAACTACAAGTACAATTTAAACACCTTGTGAATATGTCATCGCCGATGTCACAATTTGATCCGATTGATATGATTTCTGTATCACCCCATATATTAAATAGTAAAATGAAATACAAACTGTTGACGCCGTCAAAACTACCCCGCCCCGATCCATATAAACGCTACCACCTTAAAATACCAGTAGGACAGCAATGTTCATGACTAATGACTATACCGATCAAGACAAATGCAAATTTGCCTTTGGAAACGTTTTCAGACCATCGCGAAGAGAAGGGCTTCCAAAGACGTAGTGACAAAGTCGGCATCAATATTGTTAACAACGACAGAGTTAATTCGGATATCGTTGTATCTAGATAATAGACCGAATAGACGAGGGAGAAACTGACGAATGAATATTTACCTCGTCAGAGACAGTGAGGAGATGAGACAGTGAGGAGACTGAGGAGACAGTGAGGAGACTGAGTCTGGGATCTGCTGATTAGGAGTCACTCACAAAAGAGTGGACACTAGTATTATAGCTGAATAAGAAGCACATATAGCAAACAGATTAGTTGACTAGGAAAGAATCCGTGAGACTTGATCTAGAGTCAAGAACATTGATAGAAAATAACTGAAAAATACTTGAAGAAATCGACACTGACAAAACTTGGGACGTTAACATAGTGTGTACTCGGCACCACCGTCGTGGACAGAGTTAGACACACAATACATATCAGGAATCAGAAGTTGACACAACTTAGTTGTGGACAGAAACTAAGTGTGGGACACCGAAAGAGTCCAGAATACTTGAGCCACAGTCAAGGAGACTGACAAATTGGTATTAACTGACAAACCCGGTCATCTGACAGCTCCAAGAGCGCTGATAAAGTCTGTGTAACTGTCCAAGTTGTGTGGGGAGGGGGGGGGGCAGTGGTTATTCGTTTACTTTTGTCCTAATTGTCAACAACCATCACAGACAAATTTTTCAAACCACCAAATGAAACATTGTTATAAGAGGATATGACTGACATTTCTCCTTTACAAACACAGCTTGTGAATGAAACCTTTATTGTTTGACGATGATGGAAGTCGAAATTGTGGAAGGCTAAATTGTGGAACAGTACCAAGGATTCGTAAGATAAATGAACCAAATTTACCTCGGTTGCTAGGGGACTGATTGTGGTTGCAATGGTCGTCATGGCAACGTAGTACGTACAAAATTCAGAAGTCCCCAATCCCCATTAAACCTTAAACTACTAATAACATTTAACAAAATGAGACTAATGGATAAAAAGTTATTCAAAAAATACATCCTAACAAGACTTTTGAAACACCATGTAGTGCCAGTGGAGAGTGGAGACACTAACCGCCACAGTCAAATAAATTTCAATTGTGGAGACACGTGAAATTGAAACAGAGTCCAGCACACAAACAAAACAGGCTCCTTTACGGGGTCGTGGGCGCTTTCGCAATTTTTGTCCGGCACTAAGAATTCAGCGATATTCAGCTATTCCCTCATGAAATGTAAAATTCGAGGACTCTGATAGCGGTGGTGGATATTTGAAGCAGAGTCCTGAATCGGAGTCACTAACTGACATACACCACTTAGATTTAGGAATAATGCAGTCTATTGAACAGGGGAACTGAAACTGATTCTTGAACAGTTAGTGTTGAAAACAGTACAGGAGTCAGAGACAGTGATTTAGATGAAGTCGGGGATACTGAAAGATTCAGGGACACGTTGACTTAGTGCACACTAGAACTACATGATAGTTGATACTCAGATTTTAGACTTACAAAACAGAATAAAGGATACAGGCCATAGATTATAAAAACAATAAAATGTACAATCGAATTACATCTCATTTGTCTGAAACAGTTTCTGTGGAACGTTTCACCCTCGTCAGCTCCAGGTAAAGTCAAGTTGGACTATAGCAATGCAGTGTAGCCAGTTATAGCCAGGTCGATTGGTCAATGACTATCTAACTGTTCTCAAACCGTTTCCCGCCGTACACTGTACATTTACATTTACACTTACAGTGGACTATTTTCATTTACCAGCAATGTTTAACTTTAAGAGTAGTTCTGAGCTTATATTTTCATGATTTGTTAAAACAAATCTTTGCTCTTCACAGCGAAATATAATGAAAGTGATATATAGTGACAAGGTACATTTTAATTGAGTGACAACTAAAGTTTGTCACTATGAATCGTGTCAGGAAGGCTAAATAATCTGCCTATAGGTAGTAGACAAAGGGTAGCTCAATTGTTGGTTCTTATTGTTACCCTGTCACGCGATTTAAGGGTTCCGCAGAACCATTCATGCTCTGTTCTGCTGATCAGCCAACTCACATGCCACAGCCACTAACAATCCGCGTACATGTGGGTTAAATAAGTAACTGAACCCGTCAATTTTCATTATCGTTGGCATTGCAAAATCGTTCGGTTCCTAGATCATAGATGTTGCATTGGCCGCGGATACGTAGTTACTTTACTTTGGTTATTGGACGGGGAACATTAGTGTTCGAAACTAGCAGTTGGGTTATTGATAGAAACTAGGAACATTT